GTGCCAGGAGGGGGAGGGAGGGGGGGGAGGGGGGGGGGGGGGGGAGGGGGGGGAAGGTGAGGGGAAGCCGGGCAAGGGGGTGGCAAACGAACGCAAAAACAGGGTGGAGGATTAGGTGGAGGGTACCTGAGGTAACCACCAAAACGCCTGGGCCTCTGGCCTCGGCGGATTCAAAGGTGATTCCAAGGTGGAATGGAGGTGAATCAAAGGCAACGAAGAAAGGTAATTCAAAGGTGAATCAAAGGTGGTGTGAACAGTGCTGCGTTCCTCGGAGCTGCACACATGGATCTGTGCCCGTGGCTCAATCAAAGATTGCGTATCTACACGCTGTTTCTTTGTTCCATATTTTAAAGGTTACATTCAACATATATTATCCAATTACTGTACATAGGGCCTATCGGGCCTATCGCAGGGTATGCACGTATATCTTCAACAATGCGAAAATTAAAGACGATGCACACACCTACAGTTACGCACATATGTACATACTTGTACATACGTACATTTGTACAGATACATACATACAATGTGCTTGCATGCAAACAGGCAGCCACACCTGCGCTTTTTGGGCCCTGGCATGGGGATTCAGATCAGTCGCACCGTGATAACTGAAACGGGGGGGTTGGGGGGAGGGTTTCGGGGTATGGTGGGTGATGGGTATGGGGTTCGTGGGGGGGTTGCGGGAAGGCTTGGGGGAGGTTTGGGTGTGCGGCGGGGGGTGTGTGGGTAGCATGGATGGAATGCAGAAGCTTTCAAACTGTGCGTCGTCGTCGTCGTCGTGTGCGGAGCTGCTGTAATGCTCGGTGAAGGAACACCCTGCCAAGCGGCAGTGTCGAATTCCGGACGAGGGAAGCATCCGTCCTTTGATTTACCTTCGCCTGGTCGCTGCCGCAAAATCGTGTTCTTGGCTTACCTTTTTTTCACCTTTGGGCATCCTTGCTTTCCACCTCGGAACTACCTTGGAATCACCTTGCTTCTACCCTTCCCGTCGTTCTCGCAAAGATCTTCTCACCTCCGAATCACCTTCAAATCACATTTTTTGGAATTTAGACAGGGACGGTGTCACCTTTACTCCACCTTCAAATCACCTTTTGCTCACCTTTTAGTTGAAGTCAGCTTTGCCCAGAAAAAGGTGATTCAAAGGTGACCGGCCCTGTGGCTGGCCAGCTTTGAATCACCTTTGATCCACCTTTGATTCACCAATCACCTTTTACGTGGAATAAAGGTGATTCAAAGCTGGCAGCTTTGAGCTAGCTGGAGGAGCTGCCAGGCTCCCAAGGCTGGGTGCCAGCTTTGAATCACCTTTGATCCACCTTTGATTCACCTTGGAATCACCATTTACGTGGAATAAAGGTGACTCAAAGGTGAAACTAAGGTGATTTAAAGGTGAAATCCAGGTGAACTCGCCTCGGCTCTGTTTCCGGTAGAATCGATCCGACTGAGCTGCTGGAGGCTTATTGGAGAGGCGGAAAGCCAGTCTGTGGCGGACACCGTGCCAACCTTAAGGAGCTGCTTTGGCAGCTTTGAGCTAGCTGGAGGAGCTGCAATGCTCCCAAGGCTGAGTGCCAGCTTTGAATCACTGAATCACCTTTGATCCGCTTTTGATCCACCTTGGATTCACCTTGGAATCACCTGTTACGTGGAATAAGGGTGACTCAAAGGTGAAACTAGGGTGATTTAAACGTGAAACTACAGTAAGGTGATTCAGCCGTGAAACCGAGTGGACTGGTGAGCCAGCTTGCCGGTTTCGCGTGAGAGGCGTGCCACCTTCGGATCACCTTTGATCCACCTTAGAATCACCTTGGATTCACCTTTCCCGTCGCCCCAATCGCGAGCCGGCAAAAGGTGGTTTCAAGGTGAATCTGGCCTCTCCAAAAGGTGATCCTGTGATGGTCTGAAAAGGTGAAAGTAAGGCGATGCTGGAAATGGACACGGTGGAGCGGAGAAGGCAAACTCAAGGCGAACCTTCCTTAGCGGATCCGGTGGCTGGGCGGCTCGAAAAAGTAGTGAAGTAGTGCTCCCGCCACAGCACCGTTCCCTTTCGGACTATGACTAATGATTCATGGAATGACCAATCTACCTGGCGCAGTGTGTGTGTGTGTGTGGGGATGCATGCAAAACATGGATGTATGCGTGTGTGTACGTGTGTATGCATGCATGCATGCATGTCAAGCTATAGGTACAAACTAACAACTAAACAGATATTCATCAGTAACCCTTATATTAAACTTTATATACGCATTCCTACCTCTACAAATTATGCGAAAGTGGCCGTCTCCTGGTAGTCCTATCGGATCGGCATATTGGAGTAGCAGTACTGGTGCCATGCCCGGCGTTCACAAAGCTGAGACACAGCTGCAGGGTTCGAAGTGATTCATGTTAGTCTATCGAGAATCTACTCCATCTAGTGAATCTAGTGGTCTTGTCACTGGTTGGCATGATCACATAGCAGCAATACCAGTAGTAGCAGTAGCAGCAGCAATTCCCGAGAACAGTGAGCAGTGAACAGTGGGGCTAGTGACCAGCGGTTGCGGGGGAGATGGCCGCTTTTTATCCACCTTTCATCCACCGTTCATCCACCTTTCCACATTACTTTCATATCACCTTCGATCTACCTTTTTTTACATTTTAATTGAAACCCATTGGCTGTCAATGCCTCTTTAGAGGTTGCCTGGGTTTCAACGTCTAGAGCTTTTAGGGCTATGCTTTGACGCCGCCACCTTTATCACACCTTTATGCTTCCTATATTCTACCTTTGCAGATCACCTTATCATTTCCTTACATCTGCCTTCACTTCACCTTTAATTTAAAACCCATGGAAGTTCTGTGTCCACTTGATTCGCCCTCCCCAGCCTCGTGGTTTAGTCTACCAGAGACCTGATTACCGCATCACTGTGCACACAGACACGCACGTGCCTGTAGATAAACACCTGGAGACAAGAGCCAAGAGCCCGAACCAAACATGCCCACGGTCTGGAGGCAGTCCGCAAGGCCCTTCCAACACAGCTCCCTCAGCCCAGCCGCTTCCCTCGGACTCTCACGGCAGTGTTGGGCGGTTTTGGCTTGGCGCGATTTCACCATGAGGGGTACAGTGGCGAAGCCAATTTTATTCTCGGGATTCAAGGTTCCATTCTGTACGGATAGGATGTAGGACTCTTTCTTTGCCGGCTTCAGGTTCGAGGCCAGTTGATTCGACCCTCTTAGAGGATCCCCGACCCGAAACATTGGACAGCCAGGCCCCTTTGCTTCTCGAGCTTGTGGTGGGAAGGATTCCCAGATTCAAAAGAGGGGCGCCTTCCAGTCTCCCGCTTCAGGCTTGCACTGAGTTTTGAGCATTTTGGCACGGTTTAGGGTTTAGGGTTTAGGGCAGAACATCACATTGAGACATTGATCAGGGTCGAGGAATGTCCGAGGCCGTTTGCGTGCTGTCGTCGGCGGTCGTCATCGTCACTTGGCGGTGAAAGCGACACTGCCTGCATCGTGAGATCTCGCGAGTAGACGGGAGAATGACATCGAACGTTCTAGTGTTCCTGTGAGGTGAAGGAGGTACCTGAGGAAGTCGATAGTGTGAAACCTTGTTTTAGCAGAGCTAATAGGTCCGTCTTCTAGTTCATCCGATTGCCAGGGCCTCGAAAGGCCACGAGGTCGTTAGTGCATGCGGCTAGCAACAAACTAGGGTTCGGGGTTCAGCTGGTCGGCAAGGAGCAAGGCATAGAGAGATCTACTCCAGGAGCGGGATTCCATCACAGCAGGGCAGATGTCATTTAACATTCTCTGTACCAGTCCGTGCTTGCCATGGAAAATGATCGAGCATGCTTGTGGACAAGCCCCAAACCTCAAAACCCAGGGAAAAAAAAAACCCAATATGTGCTGAGTCGGTGGTCATCCATGGTAATTAATGCGTGCGCGCGGGGGATGTGTTTTCACCGCTATCCTGGTTTGATTGCTGGTTCGTCCCCCCGGGCCGTTCGAGAGGCGGACTTGCTCTTCAGGTAGGGTTGGCTCCCACCTTGGCTTTGCATAGTTTCTGCCGGCTATCTGGCCCAAGAATTGGGTAGAGATGAGTTAGTGGTCAGTGCTGAGGGGTCGCGGAAGAAGGGGACGGACAGGCTGGGACAGATACCACCCACAAGACAAACATCACGCCCAACAGCTCTGCAGCACAAGCGAGGACCCAAATTCTGGGGCGTCAAAGCCTAAAGGTCCAAGATCGAACTTCCTGGCTAGCCGTAGCCTTGTCAGGGTGACCTCTGCACTCCGGCCAAACGGTCGATAAGTTTCAGCTTAGGGTCTCCATCCCTGCGGCTGTGTGGTCTTTTGCCCGCTTGCAACACCGAAGATGTGCCTTCCTCAGTTGCAGGGCAGGAGGTTGTTTGTTTCATGTGCCTTTGCTGTTCCGATTGTGCCGAACCCTAGCCGCGTGGCTCCAACTTGCCGGGCCGCATTGGTCATGGACATGCCCACCTCGCCTAGGTTTCATCCGAAACTGAGCGTGGACAACTTGGGTGTGCACAAGCGTTACGTAGCCCTCATCACACACTACCGAGGTTGCTCCCGGCGTGCATGGCCAGCAGCGTTCAGCAGTCCAGACCAGGCACACCGGTGCGAGAGCAGCTATGGTGGTGGTGTTGGTGGTGGTGGTGGCGAGTGGAGCAGCGGATTTGTACTTTGTGTGCAGGTCTCTCGCGTGCCAGTAGCTTTGATGTTCGCCGTGAGCTGCCTGTCTAGTTGTGCGAGTGCATGGCACCTGGCTCAAGCTATTCGAGACCGAACTCGTTCTTCTCGTTATCATCTTCATCCGTGTCTGGCCGGTGCTCCTCATCATCGCCATAGTCGCCCACCGTCGCACTCGTGGTTTTCGTGATCGCATCACACACAGTAGGTTCGATCAGATCAGCAAGCGACAAGAGCACGACAGAGAAATCAACCGGATGTGCATAGTGGCTTCGGGCCTCAGTTTCTTGCTTTAGTGGCTGTTTCAACTTGCGACTTCAGCCGCCATGATGGTGAGACCCGTGGGGAATGCAGACCTGCCGTCCACTGATTGGGGCTTCGTTGGTGCGACTGTGGCAGGCTGCCTACATGCCTTAGCGATGGCCTTGAGGAAGAAGTTCGGCCACGGCACACAACACTACTACAGGGAGCCGCGGTGGTGGATAGGAGTAGTGACAGACGGCTTGGCTGGACTGGTTTTCAGCTTGGTTACCCCATTTCTGGCTGTGGAGATCTTGCTCCTGACTACATCCGCCTCTCAGCTGGCCTGTGCCTATGTGCTTGGCCTTTACATGTTCAATGAGCAGGGCAACATGTGGCAAAGGGTGGGCTTTGGCCTCACGGCGACTAGTGTGATACTGTTGAGCTTCTCTAAGCAAGAGAAGGCGAGTCCATCCACTCACTTCTGGCCAATGTGGCTGCAGCCGCACTTTCTAATGGCCAATGGTTGTTGGCTGCTTGTCGCTGGTTTCTGCTTTGCAGTCATAAGCGACAAGAATGGCTATGCGGTGTTTGCTGCCTACATGGACGGCGTCCAGTTCTTATTCACTCGACAACTGTCACAGAACCTTGAAGGACCCGGAGGATTGCACGTGGACGTGCAGTTCTGGGAGTTTGTCGCATGCAAAGCATTTTGTGTCATCTCGGTGCTCCATCTGCAGCAGTGCGCCCTTGCAGAAGACAACTTCTCCGGCTTCAAGAGCATTGGGACGGTCCTCCCCTTGCTGCAGAACTTGACGACGTGCTCTTTGGGTGCTACCTTCTTTGGTGACACTGTGAAGGTGACCGTGCCTGTGGTGTGTGCCCTTGCCCTAGCACCCGTTGGAATCTGGCTCTTAGCGCAGACGCCGGCTGTCAGACGCAGATCTCAGCTGGCTGAGGAACCAACATGTGAGTCTCGACTGGCGCAGCCGGAGACGTGAGGGTCAAAATGTGAAGGCGGACAAGCGGGGCTGTGGAATGCGAGTATGCTGCTGGTGCCGATGGCGCTGATACTACAGTTCCTGATGTTGCTGTTGCTGTGATTGCGGATGCTGCTGCTGACGATGCTGCTGCTGACGATGTCGTATGATTCGATGCAGCTGACTGAAAGAGAAAAAGATCGGCTGCATGCCCAAGTCTTTGACCCATGCTGACTGACGCTTACAGCCTGCTTCTGGACAATAGGCACGGGTGCCAACAGGAAAACTTTCCATCAGCCTTTCACGAGCAACGCCTTGCTAACACGGGGTCTGCGCTAGCCGTCACGAGCACAAGGCAGCCGAGATGTGCCACTCAACATCGCCATTTGCATCGACATGGCCCCTCGGCGCAGCTGCCGCGGAGACGGTGGAAAGAACTGCTGTGCAGTTGATCTCTATTGAAAGCCCAGCAGAGACCTGCGCTGCTCTCCGTCTTGTCAGCTCTCCCTGTTGCAGCAAACATCCATCTTATCAAACCCGGGGGCTGCTGAGGAGGCCCTCAAGCAACCGAATATCAGTCCCGTTCCTGAGGATCCTTTCGTAGGTAGAGCGGTTTAGGGTGTTCAATGTCTTGAAACGAAGCCCCAAACCCGTCCATGCTATGACTTGCACGCACACAGACCTCGCCTGGCCAACGCATGACTTGTTGCAGAAGAGGTTGGGGCCGGGGGGCTTTGGCTTCATGGGCCTGAATTCGCCCAGCCTTGTTTGATCTCAGGAGCCCAAATTTGGTCCAGTACTGCTTCCGTTGACCATTGAGACGCCGCCCACGCGCCTGTGGCCGCATGTAATTGCCGGACGCTCCCCTCATCAAACTAAAAGTACATCATTCCAAGGTCCTTTGAAACTGTAAGGCGGAGGGCCTTGGAGAAACACAGTCCCGTTTGGACTAAGGCGCGAAAGGGTGAGAGTGGGAAAATTAGGGGTGGTGGAGTTCCCGATTTTGTTCAACACTCACAATTTAAAGACTCAAGCCTTCGTCGCTACGTGAGTTGCACGCCCAGACAGCAAGCGGCAGCCCAGAATTCACAAGGGTGCTTGGCTTTAGGACGTCAGGCTTCAAGGGAGCCTCCGGGCCTCGGGCCCCTAAATCTGCAACCATCAAGCCGAGGCAGCTTCGTTTTTTGAAGATTCTGGGCGACGTGCTTGAAGCATGCCGACATGGAGCCGTATGTCGAGAGAACGACCCTGGGCATTCCATTCAATTTACTGTAGTTCATTATCTCATTTCTGTGTTCGACGAAAACACGAGGAGGTAATACGGAATTGTTGTGGTAGACCTTTAAGTCCTTTAAGATCTGCAGCTTGTATAGCACTGCCAACACCGACTATATCTTTGTCGTCAACAGCATGTATTAATTCCTGCAGTTTCGTTTACCTTCCATAGTTTTGACTGCAAAGCCACAGGTTCCGCGCGACTGTGTCAACTCGCCTTAGGCACTTACAGGTGCTTGTACGAGGACGCTTCTGGCTAGCTCCAGCATGGGCTTACTTCAAAAACAGTCCGGAAGAGGTGAGCAATGCGAAGGAAGATGCGAATACGGGGTAACGCTGATGGCCGGCCAGAGCGCAGAACTAGGACACCACCAGTTTGCACGCATGTCACATCACTTGCATGGAACGGCTCTGATGCAAGCCAATACTCAACTGGTTGTGTTAACAGAACTGATTTTGTGGTAAGTTCGTCTTTGGGCACGAACAGCCTAACAGGCTTTGGAGCTGCAAAACTGGTTGCGCGGGTTCAACGCCGGCTTGGAATCCAAGTTTGCTTTTGTGCACGAACTGGGTTTGCGGAGGCGATTGCTCGTGGCAGCGCGCCGGTTTTGGCAGTGCCGACTTGCTGGATTTTGCTAGAACTTTCAGGGCCGCTGCCGTTACTACCATCAAGAATGGCAGCCCAGGACCGGATCAGCTTCAAGCAAGCCACTCGTCGAGAGAAGATCGCGAAAGATACTAGATGCCTCAGGAGTCACAATCACAGAGAGCCGCACAGGGCAACCCCGACAAACCCGACCCAGTGTCGGTTGGCTGCGTGGATGCCTAAGAGTTAGTGCTAGGGCATGTCGTCGCGGACTTTGGTCCCAGGGTTTCCGACTTGGGTCTATATAAGGACCGTACGGTGTAGGGATCTCTTGTTACGCGTTGGGACGTAGGATTAAGGCTTGGCGGGCGTCGCCGGGTGGCCGGGCTAGGGACAAGGGCTGGCGGCTTAACGCAACTTGCTTCAGACCAGAGGCTGAGGATGTTTGATGTCAAGGTGCAGCAGAAGGGATGGAACAGTTTAGCATGCAGGACTTGGGGCAAGTCAAGTTGGTCTTCCGTCCCAGCCTGCGGTTCGCATGAATTGCTCCCTCGCCCTGGCTTCACTGTGGACGCAATGCGACGATAAGGGGACTTGAGCGACTCATTTTACTGCGGCTGTGCTTCATTGAATGCTTTAAGTTTGGGGGCTCAGATCTGATCGGCGAGCTTCTGCTTTGTTGACCCGCGGTTATCAGCTTCACAGGTTAAGGGTCTCGCTGTGCATGGCTGTGAATAAGGGAGCTTCCCCCGTCTCATTCAAGCGCGCATCTCGACCTGCCATGTGTGTGCCTTTTGGTATTCGTCCACCGCATATACGCAGCCAAGGCCGTCGACAAAGCAAGAACCATCTCAGCAAACTCGGTGTTCAATTCCAAAATCAGGCTGGGACACGGTTCCAGAGGTAGGACCGTGGGGCTTAGGATGTAAGACGTTACGAATCACTAAAGATCCGCACACCGGCTACGACCAACATCTCGAGATGCCACAACACGGAATGATGTAAAATCATTGACAGTAGTGTTCCCGCTGATATTGGTAATGTTTTTGCCTCGGTACCAGAAGCAAGGCCCTTTGTTACTGCGGGGTTACGTGCAGGGAACTGATGTCGAGCGAACTACGTCACTGAAATCACAGACACTCGTTCAGCAGGAATGTTTTTCCATCATTCAGCACAGACAATCTTGTTCTGACTAGCTCATCTTGAGCCAGTAAGTTACAGCAATCACACTCTAATTTCAGCATTACATACAGAACTGGCTGACTTCGCATGTGGGCCACAAGACCCGAGTCGATGCACAATCATGCTGTGTTAGATACGAGTGCGTGTTGTCACACATCGCCCCCTCGACGAGGGTTCACAGTACAGGTCCTCAGGACCGTGAGTCAGCGACTCATGCACATGAGACGTCACAGACGCCCATTTGCGAACGGAACTTGTGAAAGGCTTGTCGTGCCAGCGGCTTTGTATGCAAATCAGCATCGTTGTCATCTGTGTCTACACGTTCTACAGTGCAAGCTGCATCGCCGATGAACCCCAGACAAATGCGTTGGGTCTTCTTGAGATATCTCATTTTACGGCTGTAGCCGTCTTTCATTGCAGCACGTGCAGCATCAGAATCTGTGAGGAGCGCACATGGCACTGGACTGCCCACAACCGTTTCTACCACATCCAAAATGGGCAGAAAGCTTTGCAAACATTCTGCACCGGCGACCGTCTCGGCCTCGCCAGTCGATTTTGCTGTGGACTGCTGGCGGCGGGATGCCCAATCAATCAATGCATGTGTCGAGCCATCGGCACTGGATAAGTACACGTTCCATCCTGAGGTGCTGCGGGCTGTGTCCAAACATCCCCCATGATCGGCATCAACCAACACCTTCTTCATCATGTCAGAAAGGTTGGAACGACGAAGTCTCCAGAGAATGCCATAATTCACAGTGGACTCCAAGTACTCAAACAAACGCCTCATGCGCTTTTCAGCTGCAAGCGACCATTTTGAAGCATATCGGCCTAAGAAACCCGTAGCAAACATCATATCGGGGCGTGAAGACCTAGCTAAGAAAAGCAACCCACCTAAATGTACAGCCGCGTCGGTCTGCTTAGAAGGCAGGTGACCGTACTCGGATTCAACATCCTCATCCGTCATGGGTGTGTCAACCCTTCTCAGGGGACCTTTGATGGCGCGTGCCGTTTTGTAACGCTGTAACAGCATCGCTGCATATGCGGGCTGGGCAACGGTGACGATCACATTCTGATGCGAAGCAAAGTTTAAGCGGTACGAGGTCCCTAAAAACCGATCTATGTTCTGAACCTTTCCCATGTTAACTAAACCCATCATTAGGCTATGCATGTGCTTGGTTGCTTGTTCGGGCGCGCCCCCAAGAAGTACATCGTCTACATACACGGCCATGATGCAAGTTTTGTCTGGCGACAGCGACAAACCCTTCTGATTGGCAATCGGCTGCCAGCCATGCTTCAGCAACTGTGAACGAAGATGGGCATCCCAATCCGATCCAGCGCGCGGGTGCCCGTAAAGAGCACGTATCAAACGCACAACGGGTTCCCGCATGGATCGTGCACGCTGGGGGAAGAGATGCATCAAAGACTTCGGGATTTTCAACCATGTGGCATTGCTGCCTAGCACAGCTTGCAAATAAGCGGATTTCACGTCCGCTTGCAATACGCAGCCACGCTTGGCACCGAAGCATACGACAAGTCGAGCATTGTGAAGATCAACTGGCGCCGCATACATGCTGTCAACCGACCACACAACATACCCGGCAGCATTACGAATGAAGTTCCCGGTGCACACAAGTCTGGCCTTCCAATTTGCATCATCTAGGCTGGACTCTCCGAGCTCTTCGTAGTCCTTAATGCCTATCAGCATTTTTCCACCAACCATTTCAGCCGATGGGTCCCTTGCACGAACAGCATCCCACTCAGTCAACGATGCCATGTCCAAAACATCATTCGACGCGAGATTTTTGATTTCACCCTGCTTGGCTTTGTTAGCTGCAGGACAATCATACAAAGGATCCCATGGTTCAATGTTCTTTGTCACAAGGCCAAACGCTCTGCAAGCACTCATGGCAGATGAAGCCGCAGCATATTCACCTGATGACGCCGCTTGCCCGTCAGATGAGTCTGGACGAAGCTCTGTGCGGGAAGAAGAACCCTCACCAAACGATGACGGCAACACGGACTCTGAGCCGGGAGGAGGGTTTGCATCCACTTCATCCGGAATGGGCTCTGGAACCTCATGCGGAACCTCATGTTCATGTGGATGGACACTGTCGTCGCCCCCACGCTCCTCCCGTGGAAGAGTGATGTATTTATGCGCGGGGGCATCAGATGGGGTCGTTTGGCGGCTCCGCTCACGCACGAGGCCACGTTGTTCATCCGGCGTGGTAGGTGCACTGGTGTCCAACCGGGGCGGCGCCTCACCAGATTCATGTATGGAAGGGTCGAAACCTGGCCCGAAAGGATGCGTCGGCGAAGGCACGAGACCGTTGGAAGAAACAACGTCGCCACGATCATCACCTCCGTCACTCGGCCCGTCATCGGGCCCATCATCCGGAGGCGGCGACAAAGACACATCATCGACATCAATATCGTGATCCCGTGCATCATGGGGCGGTGGAGGCGGCGACGGCCCCTCCGGCGACAACATGGAAGAATCATCGAACTCATCCAAGCTGGCATGACCAAAGCACCGAGCCCGCAAGCAACCGGGTGATTGATCATGCTTGGCACGACGGTTGCGGGACAAGCACGCCTTGCAACACTTCGCAACTGGTGGCCCACAAGCCACATAAGGTGCACTTGCCAGTTGCATCAGCCGTCGGCCCAAGCTCATTAGGCACCAACTCAAACATGCGAGCAAGCCAGTGCATGGAATCCGGATGTTGCTCACGCAGCTCAAGGAAAGGGAAACACAAGTCAGGCATGAACCGCACATCACGAGTTTTCACAGTGCGTGCTTCGCCTTTTGACTGCACGTAGTGCTCATCGTCAAGCACGACATAGGACTCTAACCGACCGTATCCTAAAACCACACCTAGTCGACCCCGCGGCTCAAACTTCTGCAACGATGTCTCCTCAAGGAAGAAACATGCCGAACCAAAAGGCTGACGCCGGCTGACGTCATACACTCTGTCAAACCGACGCTCAAACGGAGATGGGCCACCATCAGCGGTAGGAGATCTGGCATATAGGTACACAAAGGCTGCCAAACAGAACGCCCAAAACACATACGGCAGTCCACTCATCAACATAAGCGAGCGCATGCCTTCAGCAAGAGTCCGATGAAAGCGTTCTGCACGCGCATTGGTTTGCGGCCTGTTTGGCAGACTGCGTTCATGTCGGGTGCGCTGCTGTTTCAACTGCTCATCAAACTCCGCATCAAATTCGCCCCCACTGTCGGTGCGACAACAGAGCACAGGTGGGTTTAGACCACCGTACATGTCATTCCAAGCTGCTGCTGTCTCCACCGCCGTTTTGGAACGCAGTGGGCGCACGCTGGGATAACCGGTTGCCTCGTCACGCGTGACAATAGCATACACTTCTCCGTTCAAGCTGGCCTTGGTGGGACCAACCAAGTCACAATGTATGCGCTCACCAAACTTCACAGCAACCTCCTTAGCATCTTCATGCTTACGAGCCGCTGGTTTCCTCGTGATTTTGGCTTGCACACAGATAGGACAATTAGGGTCCGCAGGCAAATCAGTCAAGCAGTGATGTTCAACTTTGGACTTCGCACTGGCAGCAGTTGTAGCGCATGCAAGGGGTTCAAGTTCGCCAAGCTGGGCTTGACTCGTGAACTCATCAAAGAGTGTCTGAAAGAACTCGTCGGTCAAGCTTTTCAGGAATTCAGGCGTCAACGTCTCAGTCAGGCTTGGGCCCAGCTCCTTAGCCACGCTTGCATAGAAAGCATCCACGTCAGCACCATTGCACAAGAAAGGCACACGACTATGCACAACCAGCGGAATCTCTGGTTCGCCATCCTTCCAAAAGTGAGGTTTGCTCGCGTAAGCAGGCCAATAGAAATGAAAGCCCATGTCCTCACATGCTTCGCCCATGCAAGCCATGTTGACCGAGTTGTCCATCACCAAGGCATTGCGTCGTCCAAGATGCAGCACTTCGACATCAACTGTGGAATTACTCTGCGCTACACCGGTTAGGCCTTCAACCTCAGACTTGCAAGCTCGCAATGTGTTCCAATGCTGGTCCTCAGAGTTCTGTGCGTTAACAACAAACCGCGATGCTCCAGAATCCAGCGCCCATGCCCTTGATGCGAGCTGCGCACATGCACTTGCGAGCTCTGCCGGCATGTCAACAGCTGCTCCTGCAAACTTCTTTGCCAAGAAATCTTGAAAAGCCTTGGCAAGAGCATCCTGTGCTGATGCAGCTGTTGGTTGTCCTGAAGATGCAGAGCTGGCAGCACTCAACCCTAGAGGAACCGCTGGTGCTCCATGAGTCCCGGTTTTCTGCGCGAACTGCGGGCGGTAGGATGCCGACTGCGGATTGTTCCAGCACTGCGATGCATCGTGATTGGGCTTGCCACAGAAGCCGCACGTGACTTTCGCTTTAGTCTTTCCGTCCTTGCCTTTCTTGCCTTTCCCAGGCCCCTTTGCTGCGGCAGCAGTACCGCGCGCAGCGGCTGCGGCTGCCCTTTCAGCCTTTCGGTTGTTCCGTTTCTGAATCTCATCCAAGTACTCTGCTTGAATGCTTTCGATGGCCTGCATCAGACCGTTCAGGTCCGTGGATGAGCCAGCCGCCCACAATGCAAACGTGGCCTTCAACTCATTAAGTCCACGAAGCTTGTCTTTGAGCAATGATATGCCCGTGGCGTTTGTCAGCTTGTGCTCCCCGGTACCCATCTGATGACGATACAATCTGAAAGATGCCATGAAATGCCCCAAATCCTCCAGACCCGCACATGTCAGCTTCTGAATCTCAGAATTGGCCTTCGTAGCCAAGTGTGTAGATTCATGCTTGTGTCGTTCGTCCAACACTCGCAATGCTTGCCTGCCACATCCGAAAGCAGCTCGCGCTTGTATGGTTTTCAATTGCTCTGCGGCCTTGATGCCTTTTTGAAATGCGCCAACAATGGCTGCAAATAGGCTGACATCTACTCGGTTCATGCCAGGATCCAACATGGTAGGCAAGTCTGCGAATGCTACGTTTTCATCTTCCAACTCACGCAAATATGACAATGCAAGAGCCGGATCAGGAAACGCGCGCAACACCTGTGCGCACAAGCTGTATCTCCACGAATCATAGTCTGCATGCCCCTCGGGAAGATCTTTGATGAAGATCCGGCCAGGGGTTTCTTCACCGGTGTTGGTAGTCAGAGTTGCCATGCCACCTGCTTGAATCTATGCCAAGGACGTGAACCTTGGGCTCATAACCTTGTGCGGGGTTACGCGCAGGGAACTGATGTCGAGCGAACTACGTCACTGAAATCACAGACACTCGTTCAGCAGGAATGTTTTTCCATCATTCAGCACAGACAATCTTGTTCTGACTAGCTCATCTTGAGCCAGTAAGTTACAGCAATCACACTCTATTTTCAGCAATACATACAGAACTGGCTGACTTCACATGTGGGCCACAAGACCCGAGTCGATGCACAATCATGCTGTGTTAGATACGAGTGCGTGTTGTCACAGTTACTAGTAGCTCATTGTCGACATGTCCTCTACCGTGCGCTCGAAGAAGGTAATATCTCACAGTGCCGGCGCCAACTGTTGTAGCTAAGACAGCACTCACAGTGACGACAGCGACGGGAATCGAACGAGCCCCGCGAATCACAAGAAAAGCTGACATCGCCACTAGCGAAAGCATGATCGTCTACAGTAGCCACGAGCATCCTCTTGATTCTGGACAATGAAGTAACTTATTAGTTACACCGTAGTATCGCTGCATTGAAAATCTCCGCAAACTCACCAAAACACAACATTCCAAGAAGCGAAAGCCACCTAATCCGCAACATGAGGGGTAAATGCACACGTCGTACCTACAACTGCAGACCTTGCCAGGCTTGTCCGAGAGTGAGTGCCAAAAAATCCGCAACAAACTTCACAAGCTTGGAGAGTCTCCGCCATGAGAAGGAGGGGCTTCACCGCTCCTACCGGACCTCGGCTTGCACCGACGGAGTTGCAGGAGAAGCAGCCGCTTGACTCGCATTCCAAGTGTTTACGGATTGGGGGCTGCTAGATCTAGCAGTTCAGAGGCTTTGAGGTTTTTTTTGTTGATGCGCTTCAGGCTTGATGGAGTTCGCAGGCTTGGGTTTTTACGGCTGTCGGCCCACAGGACCTGTCCGTAGTCCTTTTGGCACATGGATATGTACAGGCTGTCCAGGTTCTGCGACGAAGCGGCCTGTAAATTTCGCATGGGGCCAAAAAAAGTGCGCAGCTTCAAGCCTGGAGTGCTTCCCTGTTGGCCCTTTACAACCAAAAATAACAGACTATAGTATAATACAACCCAATATGATATTCTATACTACTCTACAATATACAAGAATCTAATTCGACATAATAATAATAATATGATGACTGTCCCTTGGTGCTCAGGGATCACAAGATGGCGCCGCCACGGACAAAGAGCCTCCACGGCCCGGCCCCTTCGCTCAGACCTCCGATTCCCACAACCTACTGCAAGATATTACAGTGGTTCAGGGTTTAAGGTATAGGGGTTCAGGGTTTAGGGTATAGGGTTTAGACTTGAGTCCAGTGGCAAAAAAGGGTATAGGGGTTTAGGGTTTAGGGGTTTAGGGGTTTAGGGTTTAGGGTTTCCCGTGACTCAAAAATGGTTTAGGGTTTCTGACACTAACAGCCCAGCTGCAAAAAGGGGTTTAGGGTTTACGGGTATAGGGGTTCGGAGTCCCTGCTGTCACGAGTACAGTCTGGCGCGAGTCAGCTGTCCTAGCATGACGTTGCAAGCCAGTTTCAAAAGGGTAGGGTAGTATCGTGCCTGCTGCCAGTATTTGTGCAGCTTCTGCTGCTGCTACTGCACCTGCTGCTATGGCGACGTCTTGTACTGGTTGCTAGCCTTAATAGTACTACGACGACGATTGCTCGTAAAAATAGTATTGTTCATCTACAGGCACAAATACTGCTACGCACCACAGGAATTTTTACAGCATGGAGGTTCGAGGTAGACGGAAGCTATGGCGTTGACTGGCTGAGGGCTGGAATGTTGGAAGCATTGAGCTTCACATGCTTACGAGCGTGTTCGGTTTCTTTGACTGTGCGGGCTTCTCTCGGCCTGCCATGCGACAGCTGAAGCAGCCCTAAAGCTTAAACCTCGAGCTTGCCCTTATCTGAGGCACGCATGCTCACGCAAATGGGGGGAAACATTGAGATGAATCCCATTGCCGAAAGCTCGGAGGACTTGGGTTCCGCCAAAGATGCATGCTCTTGCTCCGGCTATGCCGACAGCAGCTTTTAGAGTCCAGTAAGAGATGTAAGAGTCATCCTGAGAATAGATTGCATGGCAGTGCTTGCAGGCGAAACATGTTCGAGAGGTGGCGCCTGCCTTGAAAATGCGCCTCCGACATCCCCTCTCAGGAGGACTCCTTGGAGTTGTCGAATGAGAAGCCAGTGCGGGCAGTCACCTGTGGTCCCTGGGCGCAGCGTGTAGGGAGTTTTGAAACATTATCTCGTCGAACTTGTATACACGCCCTCCAGACACCAGGAACCTCAGTTCCCAGTGCACTTGCATTCGGTTCAGATCCAGTGGGGCCAGGGAAGGGGAGGACGGCGAAAAACACTAGGGACACACTGGCTCGATATTCGTACTAGCAGCTGACTAGCCAAGGCACGAGTATTCCATTGCTTTCGGGTTTGTGTTTTAAGGTTTGTTGGTCATGTTAGTTTCCCATCTTAGTTCTCATGTGGCCAGGGGAAAGGACTGAAGGATACGTGGTAGAAAGGTTGCTGATGACCCGTACTTGCAGCATGACTAGCTTTTTTCTTAGGGTGATGATGATGATGACCATGATGATTACCTTGCTTGTGAGTCTGAGTATTCAGTGCCTATACGAAGTACATCATACTTGGGACTGCTGTTCTGATTTGTGTTTGTCTGTGTAGTGTATGTAATATAAGGTAGTGTCATGTGAACCAAGGTAAAGTAGGGGACGAACATTTGCTTTTGCGTTCGAGCATGCATACAGTCACGTAAAGCTGTTGCGCGAGACTCCACGAACGACACGTGCTGGGACAGAACGTGAAGCAGGGAAACTCCCCCTTGAACACGCAAGCGTTGCAATACTAAGAGTTGCCACAGTGGATTCAAGTCAAGGCTTGTAACAGAAAGCTAGCATAGACAGCTGGCAACATGCCAGCACGCAACCAACACCAGACATGCTGTACATTCTCGTAACCGATGTACTAACACTAGCAACACTCCTTCCCGCCCCCAGAAAACGTAGCAGTGCCCAGGCGCTCGTACGCCAAGATGAGTGTGATCACCTCATAAAGCTATGACTAGTCTGTTGCGGACAGAACTGACGTTCTTGAACGACGTACCTGCAGACCCCCAAGCCCAAGCTGCCTCAACCAGGCCATCTGGCGCCTCCCGAAGACATACAGGCCGTAGAACAAGACGGCTAGCGCTGTTTTCAGGGCCCAAGTACTGTAATTTGGCTGGTGCAGTGGGGTGCGATTTAGTTGTTGTTGGAGCATTGCCAGTGCCGGTATTGTGCTTCCTGGTATGTTCAACCTGCTTCAGCAGTGCTGTTGTTGCTTTTGCTGCTCATGGGCACTTCATGATCGATATATACCATGCAGGCGTAATGCAACTCCTGGACGACCTCAACTAAAAACCTTAAAGTTTACGTCAGTTTAGGGTTTAGGGTTTAGCTCACTGGCCTTTGTTATCACTTGTAGACAGTCCGGGCCTTGACCGAAGGCTTTGAATCCAGGACCTAAGTCAGGTTTAGGGTTAAAAGACTAGGGTTCAGGACTTGCGGGTTTCGGGTTTCGGTATGGCTTCGTCCTAGTTCAAGGGTCCTCAAGTCTGAATGTGCGCTGAAGGATTTCACTCTGACTTAGCTCCATCCGAAGGCGGCCGTGACAAAGCAGAGCCAACCTATGCACAATACACTCGATAACTTCCTGACTTCCAGGGGATGTCCCGCCGGAGAGCATGTGAGTTGGGATGCCGTGCAGCAGACCTAACAATTTCTCATTTATTGGACCTTTGTGCTGCCTGGACATCTGAGATAATTTGTGCGGGCAGCTCGAGGATTCTGGGGTGGCCTTGGTCAGCTTGGTTTGAGGCAATGCTATTTCTGCACTGCAATACAGGATTAGGGGTTTGTAGTTCTAAGTTCATGCCAAGGGCCGGCATTCCCAAGTAGGACAGCCCATCTTCGCAGGTCCATCGCCCTCGTAGCTTGGGGGACTTGCCGGCCTTCGACTTGGCAGAGCAGGTCGAAGCACTGGCTGAGAGTTTTTGCTGTTTTGCAGGGCTCCGGAACTCTTTCACCTCCTCGAACCGTAGAAACCCGGCACGGCAAAACATGCTGACGCTAAGCACATATGATTTCCGGGGGTCGAAACCACAAGCCCGACCTGGCAGCATCGCACGGCAAGTCAGGATGCCAGTTGGGAGAAGGGCTTCTGTTCTACTTTTTATACAGACCTGCCAGGTAAAAACAGTCATAGTGGCCAGTAGCTGCAAATCCTTCTTGGTATTAGGATTATTAGGAGAAGAGGATAGCAGGACCAGAAAATGCCCGTAGCGCTGTGAAGAAGGCGCGCCAGATCCGCTAGTGGACCGGTCGCAGTTGTCAGTAGCTACGCAGTGCATGGTCATGCAAGAAGATCTCTCTTGATGGAAAAAGAGAGGAAGACGAGTCAAGGAAATATCAGTCAAAGTACCCAGGAGGTCCAGCAAGGAAACAGGCCCGACGCAGATAGATGTTTAGTACAGCAGCCGCTAGATACAACTGGCAAGCCGACATTGTTTCATGAGGATGATGGGAAGATCTAGCAAGCAGAACCAAAGGCCACAGTGCGAATCCATTGCGGATACATGCCTGCAGATTCATTGATCACAGAAATGCCCTCTCCACCGGCACAGCATTAGCAGGACTTGTTGACCAGCATTGCACCGGCTACAGCACCAGTAGAACACAACCACAAGGGTCACCGGCATCGGCAGCAGTGCCAGCAGCACCAGCGGCACCAGCGCAACTGTACCGACGATGACAGCGCCTTTTTGGCAGCATCAGCATCAAGATCAGCAGCGAGATCCGCGCATGCCGCAAGCACTGATTGTGATCATCCTATCATTTGCATACTGGCATCAATTGTCTCACGGATGGCCCATTGTGCAGCATTCTTCAGTGTACCCACAGGAGCAGTCGGACGACGAACGCAGCCCGCGGCTTTCACTACCTGGTGCCTTCCACAAATTGCTGCATTACCCTCACAGGGGTGTGGTTTGAACTTGGGCGTAGTGCGATGTCTCGACTCCTACTTGGAGGTACCGGTGGGCTGGTCGGTGTAGTAGCCAAAGTTCAGACTCATGTTGAGTTGAAGCCATGCTGACCATGGCTATTGTTGACTGTTCCGACTTATTTTATGACGGCCGTTGCGTTAGCAAATCAATTGTATTGTATGGTAGGTATTGCGGGTTCGGGCTTTTGCAGTGCTGCTCGCACGGACTCACATGTAGTCTATGGCGCTCAGGCACAGAGAGACGCAATCGGTATGCATTTGGGCATTAGTGGAGCCCGCGGGAAGGTGATGCGGACATCGACGCGCACGTATGCTGCTGTGCGGCCTTTCGTTTGTATGCATGTGAAAGCATGTGCAAATTCAAGACTATAAAGACAACCATGGAAAAGACTTGGAAACGAAAGATCCGCGGACCCGGACAGAATTAGTGAATGTGTTTGCTGGTACATCTGGGAAACCGTGGTTCGATAGATGTCCCTAGGACCCTCCGCCGCTTGCATTGGTCTAGCCACCGCATCCTGTTCCCAAGAAAGGACAAGTCATGACGGCCTGGACCCTTTTGGAATTTCATCGGTGCTGCCAGGTGATGCTTCCAGTGATGAGGAGGGTGGATCCTCGTCGGCCCAAGGGCGTGTGATGCTGATGCGTCATTTTGCCGCGGGTTACGTGTGTGTTCTTTAGTCGGAGTGTTCAGACCTTCGGAGCTGTGGGGGCAGCATGGTCATTTTCGAACTGGATGACAAGAGTTGGGGGTCCGGTGTCGGCTACATTTCCCACACCGTCGAGGCTTCGGCTTCAGGATCTGATCGGATTCGTGGCAGTAGAGCTGCTGGAGGCTGGTACTGACGTTGCTCCTGCTGCCGCCATTCCTACTGCTGCTGCCGCAACTGCAACTGAAACTGCTGCTGCTGCTGCTGCTGCTGCCACTGCCATACTGTTTCTCCGAAGGGTGCTACTTGCGTGACTTCCGAATCGCAGTCGCGGCGCACCTGTTCGCTGGGTAAATTCACCGTGAAGCCAGGTCCCTGATTCCGACATACTCCGAAGGTGAGTCTTTCATGAGCAAAGCTGTGAGACCTTTCCGAGCCCTCGTAATTAGCCACCACGAGTTCAGGCTGAATGGCTTACAGAAAGAAAACTTGTGAGGTGCTGACGGATGTTGAGCAGCGAGATGACTCAGGTTACCCTCAAAGTTTATGGTCGTGATTACGGGAGAAACGTGCTGAAGTAGAACGCAGGATGCACACCATGTCCTTCCCATGTGTGGCCATTGCTGCCGCGCTCCTGTGGACCAGTGTTCGCACCGACAGCCTCCGTGTGGGTCAGGAGGAGGATGACGATTCGGAGATGCTCGTGCACTCCACGCGCGTCCGAAATTCGAGCATCCCTTGTGCCACGGTTCGGATGTATCGACACTGCGTGCGATCAACGACTACGAAGGTGAAGGGGGTTAGTCCCGAACATGATGACCTCTCACACTATACAGACTTGCCGCTGCCTGCTTGGAACACGCCAATGAAGTGGTGCACCGACCAAGGTTCTGCGCTTATGAAGAGTGAAGGAAAGAAGCTGAGACAGCGAGAGCTCAAGATGGATCTGTCGAAGCTGAAGGTAATCGTGGACACGGACCAGCGTGATGCTACCAGTGCAAACTCCCTACTGCAGGGGCTTGCTGACCAGGGTGAAATCTTTGCAGCACGGGTGGAATATTTCCCTGTGCTCTTCAACGCCTTCAAACCTGGAGCTGGTGCGACCGTTTGCAAAACTCCAAGCAAGGAGCTTATGACAGCACAGAAACAGCAGCGACTGCACACGACACCGATGCCCATGGGTGTCGGTCCTGCTCACGACATGAACCAGACAAAATACAACGACGTGTTGGAGCTTTTTGAGAAATTGTTCGGAGTTGGCGCTGCAGGCTCTCTGAAACAGATGAGCAACCCACCCATCATCGACAACGAGACAGGACTTTTGAAAGGAGCACCTGTCGTGCTGAAGCTTCTTGCGACGAATTTAATGTTTGCTTACGCATCTAACATCACCATCGCAACCCATGTGCCAGCAAGCCGGGATCAGATCTTCGAGCTCACGGCCTGGACCCATTGGGAGCGCCGGATCTCGCAGACACCGGCCCTTCTTGTGTCAAAGAAAGCTTGTGGCGTCCTTTCTATGATCACCATGTTGCTAGGTAAGCCCAGGCAGAAATATGCCATCTTCGTAGGGCATGACAGCGATCTTGATGCTTTGGCGCACTTCTTTCAGATTACATGGAAAGCGCCTCCTTTCCCCGCGTGGAAGCCAACACCTCCGGGGTCATCGCTGAGCTTCACATCCTTAGGTGACGGCACAGCCTTGGTGCATTTCACGTACCAGGTCTTCGACTCCTCAAACGACCCTGAGGTTAAGGTCGTACCCACCTTGCCTGGCCGGGTGAGTTTGTTTAAAATCAAAGCCTTCATCGAGACGCAAATCATGGAGTTTGCAGGTGAAGAGTGCTTGAAAGTTTGCACTTCTCTAAGTGCGAACATGTGATGGGTTGCTAGACGCTAGAGACCAGATTCTGGAGGTACAGGCCTTGCCATGAATCCTAGATCAATCTCACCCTTTGCCGACTCTAGTGCGTGCATCGCTTAGCGACAAACTGGCGTGCTGACCTGCGACCCAGCCCATCCGAAAGCAAAAAGCGATTTCCCGCCTACAGACACAGTGGATCATTCACATAACTCTAAGTTGCTAAAATATATCTGCACCAAGGAACGCCCGTCTTGCCGCTGCTTCAGCTCATAAGCAGCCATGACGACCTACCGGAGGCTCCACATGACTCTGAGGGGATCTAGAATCTAGGAACAGACGAAATCCAGTGCTCACTGTAGTAGCGCTGGTGCATAGTATGGAAACACCACATGATAATGATGATGGTGATGACGACGATGCTCGTGGTGGTAGTGGTGGTGGCGGCGGGGTATGTGGTGTTGCTCGGGCCTGAAGATACGGACAAGCAGTAAACCTCGCCTGATTCGTCGAGTGCGAGTGGCAAGAATGTGGTGTTGATAAGTGTGGTTGTCGCCACATGCTTATATATCTCCTTGGCACATGTGGCCAGTTTTACAATCTGTCCAGCCTCAGAGATCTCGCCGAGACACGGCAGAGGGCCCAACGGTCAAAGCCTGCACGTTTGAACTCGAAAGGCTGGAGCGACAGATATTCACTTCAGTTTGCAAGCGCCGTGCACCGAACCCCGCAAGCTTCCACTGGCAGCAGTTGGGGGAGCATTAGAGGCAGGACAGGCAGGGGCATCAGTTACGGTTTTTTGCAACGAAGTCATCAAGCGCCGAATCGGAACAAAGTTTCAAGCCATCTAGCCATACTTTGTGCAGGGCAGCGGTGCCATGAGCCCGGTGATGAGAGATGCGGCACCTTGGATTCCTTGTTTTCTATAACATGCGCACCCTGCCCAGTTGACTCAGGCAGCCAAAACATGAGACCCTACAGTAGACGATCTTGCAATAGTCGCTCGCTTGATTTGAAAGCCATCCTACTTCTTGCGGTAGGGGGAGATATGGAAGTGTTGTGGATGCCAAAGGGTATTGACGATGTGAAATGGTAGACCCCTATGTGCGGCTTACGTTTGGAGGCATTCAAGATGTCTAACTCTTCTAAATCACAAATTAAATATCTGGTGGCAACCAGTGAACTAATGAGCCCGACAATTCCGATCATAAATTTCGATGTAATCCCGTGTAGCCCAGGATTTTTCCGCTGCCAGCTGCCCTGTGAGTGACCTGCGAGGACTTCGAGGCTTCTTGGGCAAAATACAGCTTCAAGGGTTCAGCTTTCGGCGGCCTGTTTTTTTTGTGTATGGAGGGAGGTCCCATTAAGAGCTTCTTGTGACGGCTGCTGCCACGACGGACTGTGGTTTCTGCCTCACACGCCCCTCAGAAGCACTCTCAGCCGGACAGGTTCCTTGAGCCCACCTCAGCACACAAGCGCCTCGGCATGCCTGTTATCAGCAGTTTTCTGCACTTCTGTCTTTTAGCTTTGACGTTGGTTGGTGGTCGACGCGGAGTTGGTGGGGCTGACATGTTGAGGGTGCGATGGCGACTATCATGGAGTTGATAATGGTATTAGTGGTAGTGGTAGTGGTTAGTGACGACGACCAAGACAACGACAACTACAACTGCAATGACGGCAGCGACGACGACGGCTACCGTTGCTACCGCTGCTACTGCTGCTGCGCTTCCGATTCCGCTACTGCTACAATGCCTTGGACCTCTATCACGACGAAGTCCACTGCGACCACAACTGTGATTACTGCAAGAAGGCTCCTGCTGCTGATGCTGCCACCACGTATGCTGGCGGCTGCAACGGCGAGTACTCCCAAGATAGTCATGATTAGAAAGTGTACGATGCCGGCGACAACTACTGCTCCTCCTTCTTTCCGGGGCTGCTGCTGTGGTGCTGTATTGCTCAGTAGCCGCGATGCAAGGGTTTCGCGTGCCTAGTTGGGCACACTTCACGTCTGGAGAGAGGTGGGGTCGAGATTTTTGGCGAAGCTGGCTGTCTTGGGTGAATTATTTGATGTTGGCATTGGTCGGAGTTCTTGTTGTTTTGTACAAGCTGCAGACGTTTCAGCAGGCCTCGCCCTCGACTCTCACTGGGTATGTTCGGCAATGCCTGGCCGAGTCTGCATGCCCAGCTACCACTGAGGTCCTCGGGGACAGAGCCCGGACAATTCCGGGGAGCCCTTGATGAAGCAGGCACAAGATTTCTTCAAATTTCACTGTTTGAGCCCTGAAGGTTTCGGGCTGGTGACGTCTCCACCAGGGCTCCGGGATTTAAGGTTTTGGGTCATGGGTTCGAGGTTGCCGACCTAAGGGTTAAATGTAAGATTCCTAGCCCCAACTCAATCAGATGTGTGAAGTTGCAGGATCCACAGGCCGAGGGAAGGAACAGCGAATCCTGACGGAGATCGCTACGGGCGTGTAGGTGTGTACGGGGAGTAATCTGAATTTTTCAACGATTTTCCTAGGGTTGAGAGCTCGACGGCATGCTTCGGCATTCGGGCCCTAAGGCTGTCGGGCTATGACTCCAGGCCTCTTCAGGTTCCAGGGGCTGTTGGACTTCGACTTTGGGTCATGAGGTTCTATGGCTGAAGGCTTGATTTTTCTTCTGATGGCACGAAGATCAACAAGAACGTGATGATGATGGGGTTCTCAGAATAATGAAGAGAGAGATGCAGTGGCTGTTGGCGAAGACGGTGCAGCCGACGATGCTGGTGCAGATTGTCGCCACCGTGATTCTCTTGATGGTGGTACTGACCGTACTGATCATGCCGAACCGGCTCACAACAGCTACGGTGATGCTGCGGCTACAGCATAATTAAATCGTTGTGGTGGTTAGCTCCTCTTGCTGCTGCTTCCATTGCCCTGTTGCCCAAGCACCGTCGCCTGCATTGAAAGTTATTAAACGTCGAAGCCTTCAATTGCCTGGGAAAGGCATACGACAGTGCTGCATGCTCGACGTTCGCCATCAGCTTCGGACAAGCCAGTGCACTAGTTCAAGCTGGAAACGACTGCCATCAACAATTGTCGTGATGATGATCCCAAAACGTGCCGGGCCCTTCAACTTTCCAGCCTCTCTGGCGCAAGGCAATTGAAAGTATCTGTCGTCATAGCTATGCCATGCCAGTTCTGCGTATGGAGAGTAGTTGCAAGCCAGGGCTCCCATTCCTGGATTCGCCAAACTCTGGAGTCGACTTTGATTTCCCTGGCCTTATCCTTCATACGTACCCCAACCTGAATCCCGAAGCTGCCAAGCCACCTTCGCGCGAGGTCTCGTTCAGGATGTCGGAGGACGAAGATGATGACGAGGACATGCCTTCTGCGCCCCATCCCCGCAATCTCAAAGCCTAGGCCCCCAGGCTTTCGAGCCCTGTGTACCCTAAACCCCGATCAAATGATTCGATGCCCTGCTGCTGGTGAATGGATTGTTCCACTCTGCTTGGTTTGATCCTCCGGCCGGACTAGATCCGAGAAGCTATCCTGTGCAAACGGAGAACGTTTCTTCGGGCGTCTGAGCCTACCACAGCCCAACTATGAAGAATATGAACAGTATAAAGCTATTTAGATCTAACGCCCATAGTCTATATAGCTGATAGGCCATATAAATATAAATACATACATATCTATCTATCTATCTACCTATCTATATAAACACTCATGTGTGTGTGGATATTTGTATATGTGTATATGTATATATATATGTATCTTTATGTACATGCATAAAGAAAGCCCACCGACACACACACACACACATATCTATATATCTGTATATATATATATATATATGTATATGCATATGCATATGTATATGTATATGTATATGTATATGCATGTTTTGCAAATTTTTGCAACATATACATACGCACACATGCGCACGCACACACATCTCTCTCTTTCTCTGTATTTTTATACACATACATATCCACATACATATATGTATCTGCATGCCTGGCTGCCTACTATACGCATGTACTTACTTACATACGTGTATGTGTACATGCGCACGCTCGCAAAGTACACGGCCAGTGGCCCGATTCCGGCGAAAAACTTTGCATTTCAGTGACTCTTTTCGAGAATAACGGGCACTGTGTGATTCTGATTTTTCTCAATATTGCAATGGTAGCTGCTGCGCATGTTCGGGCTTTTCGTGGACTTGGGGCATGCAGAGCTCACCAAGCGGCCAACACCTCCACCCAACACTCTCAACACTTTCATGTTAACTATGGTGAATGTTTTTAGCATCAAGCTTACGAGACCCGACGCCTGTCAACGAGCATGAGAATGTTTCCAGCTAGGAAAGCTACTCGTAGGAAAGCATGCCTGAGGCAGAAGATGAAGCATTCGGTCGAAATCGCCAGGCTCAACCTTCACGGCCGCGCCGAAATTCACGGAGCCTGAGCCCGTCCATCTACCGCAAACAGCAGGTGTGGCAGCCTAGCACCTTTGAGGAACGTTCGAACAGAGCAGAGTACACTACGCCCCTAAACCCCTCTGGTTCTGGCAAGCTGTTTGGGTTTCGCCAAAAAGTTCCTTTTTTGCGAATGCCGGACATAGTAGAAATTCGTTCATAATCGACCAGAAGTTAATTCGATGCCAAAACACAAGTGGTGTGGTGCGAACGAACGAGCAGTAGGGATGCGTCCGCGTGGTCCCAACCATAGATTCCATAGATGGCTGAACTTACACGTCGCCTTCTTTGGGACAGCCTTCTCGTGTGTCACGGCACAGCATCTTCGGAAGCATTGTCATGCCGACCGACAGCCTTGTCTAGGTACAGCCTTAGACATGTACACTAACCCGCGAATTCAGGAAGTCAGAGGTTGAACGCATCATACCTGATGCACGAAAGCAGACAGGGTTTACCGACTTTCTGCCTATCAGGCTGCTGGGTTATATAAGGTTTGCACGTTCCTGACCCGGTGACCGGCACCATCTTCCAGAGCAGTGTGCTGTTTACCGCCAGCACACGTCTGGCTAAGAGCAGGGCCATTGTGCAGCATCATCCTCGTCGATCGCAGGCATCACACTCGAATCGCCATCAGTAGTCATCTCCTTCGCATCACCGCCATCGTCACCATCATCCTCATCATCTTCACCCCTGTTCCCCTGACCCTGAACCGTGAACCCTTGCGCCTGCAGGGTGGTCCCGCCCGATTAGCACCTCCGAAGTCCGAGAGCGATGCTCTTCTGTCGCCCTGCCAAGCTTCCAGTTTCAGTACAGCTGCCCTTGGACACGCTTAAATGCTTAACCCTTTCGGGATCGGAAAGCAGTGGTGAAACGTGGCGTGGCGTCGCAAGGCTGAGGCTGTGTTCTTAGATTCAGTGTTGCTTCCCTGAGACGAGGGAGGTGCACTCCGGGGCATTGTTGTGCAGGGACACCTGATGTGTGCGCGTACGTACAGTGCGGGGGGATCTTCAAGGTTTCCAAAACCTGCAGGTCCCAGGTCTATGCAACGGATATTTTGTAACCACGCCTGGGCAGCAAATTCCAGATGCTCCGAACAGCTTGCCGTCTCCGCAAAAGTTTGAAACGATGCAGAGAAGAGTAGCATGGGCCTGGGCAAGGATGACACGCACAAATCGAGAAGTGTAGCAAGTTTTGATCCTCGCCTGGCTGTGCCTGGTTGTGAGTGCTGACTAGCTGACTAGCTGATCTGTGTCGGCCCTCCGAAATAGTGGTAGGTAGTCATTTGTAGCCATAGTAGTGAGAGCAACAGTCAATGGTAGGACAATGCTATCACCCTAGACTACGATACTCTAACACTGTAAAACGATACTGCTACAAGACCGTGGAGAATATGATAACTGTAGTGCCGTCGTGACACTAGGAGCCCAAGAGTAGCTGTGAGTAGACGAGCCAGGTCCTCTGGCTCCGAAAGGGATCGGGCGAGGGTGAGCAAGAGTGCCGCCCTTGGACTTGGTGAAGGTCCGGGCTTTGCTGGAATTTAGGGGTCCCGAGGCTTGCACAACAAGCCCACTGCGTCGACGCTCTCATCGGGCAGCAATGTGCCGCTTCCGGAGGGGGCATTCGCCTCAGACCGGGTCGAGTTTAGGATCTCGGGACCAGATTCGAACAAGCAGGTACTTGATTGCAGAAGTTCTAACCTCGAGGCGTGTAGGGCATCTATCCCCGGCACTAGAATATGTCGATGCGACCTGCCGCTTGAAGGATTTTGATGCTTCGTGCCATGACCTCCCTAAACCCTAGTTGCTGAGGAGCTTGTTGTGTACCTCATTCGTTTATTCTGGGGCACTCCGCGAGTATGAGTTCATTGGGATTTCGAGCTTCTTTGTCGCTGGTCCACTGCCCTCATCCCGCAACCATGCAGCCGAAACGTTTCCCAATGCAATAGACTGGTTGTCTCTAAGTCTGAGCGCATTCGTGCTGTCGTCTGCACTCTTGGTCTCCTGTGTACGTACGTACGTGCGTGCGTGCGTGGGTGTGTGTGTGTGTGTGTGTGTGTGTGTGTGTGTGTGTGTCCGTGTGCGTAGAGTGCCTCTGACTTAACTGCCCTGCACCCTGGAATTCAAAGTATGCCATTGAGAACCCGCCCCTGTCGAAGTGCGTATCGAGACCTGGAACTCTCCCCGCGTGTCTGAGAGAGCGGAGCCCACAAGCACAGAGCCTTCCGTCTTGGGCCAAGGAAGATGCACTGAGTCTGAGGAGTGTGCCAGCTGTTGAATCTCAGGCCCTCAGATGGAAATACGAAAATGGGGATAGACGCTCATGAACCAGTGTCGTAGTGTTAGTACCGGCAGCTGCTTTGATACAGGCATGTTGAGAGCTTGGGCTCTACGCAGCAAGAGACCCAAGCCTGAAATGGAGTTGTCTTCCAGGAAGAGGGACATGGCTTGGCGGCCAGCCTGGGAAACGTCTTCTCGAGCAACAACGAGGTGTGGCTTCAATTGATGCTCTACTCTAGACTCTAGTTAGGCGGTAGTTCTGCTGCTGCCACTGCTAGTACGACTGCTCCTCCTACTACGACGATCTACGATATCTACGATGCTACTACAACTGATCCTGCTTTCTACTCCTGCCGCGGCTGCTGCTGCTGCTGCTAGTGCTGCTTGTGTTTAGGCTGCTTTCTATGAAGTTTATGGCTTGCGGCCACTCCTCGGCGGATATGACTGTTATGTTGAGTTTTTTGCACATAGAATTTTCACCTACTGCGAATGGCTCGGTGCCTAAGCATGACCGAAGCAAGGGGGTCGCCTGTGCCGATCCACCGCCTGTCCGCTGCAGCCTTGGAACCCAAAGCGCTTGGGTGTGCAGCTCCAGGGCATAGGCGGGTAGATGCGGGCTTGTGAGCGAGATAGTTTAATCAGGGTGCCACTTTTGCCGGTGGAGCATGTCTTCAAACTGATGGATGCGATGCAGCGTCGAATCGACTAGCACGAATATGTCATCGCCGACTATAGCAAAACTACAGCCTGCAGCAGTCTATGTCGGGAGCCGCATTCCTTGGAAAGAAGGAGATAACTCACGTATTTCATCAAGTTCAGTCATGATCCGATAAAACTTGATCGGATAAGGCTTTCTCGTGCGTCACTTCAAAAATAGCCCCTGCAGACCCTACATGCAAAATGCACCACATTTGCTCACGCATTTTGGTGTTTCCAAGCTGCAGGAAGAGTTGTTTTGCTTAAAGAGTGATAAGAGTGAATAGCTTGACACCTTTTACAGCGAAAGCTCACGCCAAGAAGCGTCAGTGTTTCGTGCCTTTTTCATCTTGTCCGGGTAAAGACGCGCCCGAAAATACGACATCCCAGAGTCTGAAGCCATGAAGACGAGCATCAGCATCTTGAAGATCTTGAGTTCCCTAAGGTGCAGAGGATGGGGCGAGCGAGCCGCACCCAAGGCCATCAGCAGCAAGCTAGCTTGGTTTTGTTGCTTCGCAGGGTGTTCGGTGGCAGTATGGGTAGATATGGGTAGTCTGGGACTTTGAAGGTTAGGGCACCTTGTCGCCTATTCCGTCCAGGCCGCTATTTTATTGTTCAGTTGCTCGAAACTGCGCGCCACACACGAGAAGACACAGCGACGTTCTGTCGGTGCCGTCTGGATTCGTGCTGCACACATTGGAAGGTATGTAAGTGGCATCAGCCCGAAGCATACCGACACCATTCCGTGAATCCTGACGCTCTGAAAGGGAATGAGGTTCGTGGTGCGGTTTCAGTAGTACTTTTGAGAATGACCCTCGTTGGGTCGTGAAGTGTGGGCTATGTGAATTTCGTTTGGTCTTTAATCTTCCTTAGGCAGTCCCTCATTGCAGGTTGTCCCTGACGTCTCAAGACCAAGGTCCAGAACCGATACCCCCAACCCGGACATGCTTGGATTAGGAACTCGGAGGCAGCACATGGTTGATCTTGGTGGCATCTTTGGTTCTGAGCTTGTTTTCTTATGTTGGAGGATTGCCTCTGCTGTAGATAGCAGCAGCCCGGCGCCAGCACCAGCACCGTTACCATGACCACGATCACGGGCACCACCAACAACACAAGTACCTCTCCCTTCCACTACCTCTGCCACCACCCTCTAAAAATTCTAACCCGACCGACCACGACCGCGACTATTGCTGCATCTGCTACTACTATTACTGAATACTCGTGCCAGCAAGAAGCGCAGTAGGATTGTGTCTATGGCACGACAAAACATAATAATACTGGTAATGGCATGAACTCGACTCCGGAACCCCAGACGCCAACAGCTAGTGTGGAGGTCACCGGCGTCACTTGCCCAGCCGACCACGCATGCGAAGAAGGACGGAAACGGTGCTGCGCATCGTTGACAACATCGCTCTTGCTTGTGGGTCGCAGTAGGACTCGGTCCCTGTATCCAGACACAAGATCGCAGGACTACGACGAGTAGTAATTAGCATCGATAGTGGTACAACTATCACCGGGACGGCTACAATACCTAGGGCCTAGGGATAGCTAAGCAAGCTAGCGGCAAACCACATCCGAACAACCAAGGGTGAAGTTGGGACGTGACTGGGGTAGGGCCAAGAACCCTGTTCTAAACCAAAGTGTGCCTTCATGAGATGCTGTGCTGCCTCTGAGAAGACTCCCAAGTCTTTACGTCTGGCTGTAGAAGCAAAACAAAGCTTCACAATCCTCCACAGATTGACGCACGTCCTGTTGTCAGACGAGGTTTTGTTCTTCTAGATCTGTAGACTTGTTTCACACCGCTAACCTTCTTATTGCAGCCCTCGTTAAGTTGCAGCTTGAAGGTCAGGGTTCAACAGTGAAAGAAGGAAGTGCCGATGCCGCCGGACTCTCCGCGACCTTTGCGATTCCTCACGCGCAGCCGCCGGGATCCCGGTCCCTGCTTTTGAACGTGTACCCCCCCAATTGAACAAACATCTGAGGCTTCGTTTTTTTCGGGTTGGGGTGGTGCGGCTTGGCACGGTTTCTCAAGAGTTCGGCTGAGTCCCCAGAAGGTCGTTCCGCTTCAGTGGCTGACACCCTTTATTTGCAGGCACAGCTCCAGAGTGAGCCGGAGGGGCTACTATAGGGACCTTAATCACTACCTATACTAGTTTTGGGGTTCCTTGGTATAATTACAGCATAACATACACCACGACCCTATTCTAACTTTTAAGGCCCCTATATTGCGAGTCTGGGGAATGGTGGCGACATGTTTCGTATGCACTCGTACGTCTACTCATGAACTTTCGGGGGCACCTCAAGCATGAACCTTTCCATGCCGGCATATGCTGACACCTTTGTCGATGAGTATTGGGCATTGCGGGAACGTCCACAAGTCAGCCTTGTAGTACCCGTCCATGCACCAGCAGGCTTGAGTCCTTGAGACAGAAGGTCGACAGAGGGTAGCCCGAGGTGGATTGACATCTCCCACCCAGAACCGCAGCCGAAGGTCTGTTCAATTTTCGCCGGGGCTGATACCAAGGCATGGAGCCTTGGTCCGGGTTTTCGAAAATAGGGGGACGCTGAATGTTGGTGTAATAAAATGCTCCCCGATGAAAGCTGCCTGAGCAACTTCGCTTGAATCTTTGAATCATTATCCCTGGTTGACCATCTTGCAACATGTACGTAAAGCGCCGGAGCATGCAGACTATGCTGCACAGTGGCCCCTGGTGATCACGGGATGCTAGTGGCTTGGAGGATACTGGGCCGTATTTTGCTTCATGGCGTGAGAGGTGCGATTTCGTGGAACTTCATGTTGTAGACAGTCGTCTCCAGGCCTGGGACAATGCAGGCGGAGCTGCTGCCCACCCTGGAGGGGAGGGAACCGAGGAATGTCGAGTCGTGGGAAGAATGATTCTCATGGTCCTTGCTGCAGCTGTAGAAATAGAGCTGTAGCTGTACGAGCAAGAATAAGAATCGAAAAGCAGATCAAAGGAAATTTTGGCACGCTGCCTTCATGCATTTAGTCCCGGCAAGACTTGCAAAATACTTGGCTTGTGCGTAGTCTTGAATGCGATGCACCGAGTTATTTGGTTCTTCAGCTGCCAAGTGACGGACATTGTGCTCTTCCGATAAACTCCGCGTTCCGGCAAGAGTCGGCAGCCGTTCTGGAGGGCACGGCGAGGCCTTCCAGCATTCTATCGATATGTCAGACGCCCTAGCCGAAATTCGCACATATCAGTCATCGGCTGCATTAACCAAACTTGACTTAACGCAAGCTTCAGCCGCACTCCTGAATGGCTTATCCGCGGTGGAGGGCTTTGAACTTCCGGCGACCACAATGGGTCACTGATCATGGCCCTGTATCCTAAATGCTCATATTGATGTAGTGCGAGCCCTCTGTAGTCTATCCTGCACCCGTGAGTTGCGGCATTCATGCTTCACCAACTGTAGTGACTGACGGACATCCACTTTCCCAGCCGGCTGAATTATCCGGTTTCACGGGGAGGAACATGCCCCCACCGACTACATTATGGACCTATCCTGGAAACACATGCAGGGGGCTACGTGAGCGGGGCTGCAGTTCCACCCTGCGTGAAATGTCATTGGGCCCCAACAGCCCGAGCCAAGAACTGTGCACGAAGCACTGCAATGCATGCTTCCCCCGTTGCGAGGCTGCACAAGAGAGTGTGCGAGCGAGCTTTGAAGCACCTCTGTGCAGCTCCGACGGGGCGGGTGAATTGCGTTGGACCACATATTTTTCAAAGAGCCCGAGAGCGCTCTGTCCCTGCCCTGGCCCGAGAAGACCAGCTCTGCATGGCGCGACGAAGACCAAGTCACAGCGATGTAGAGCACATCATAGCAGATTGTAGTATCACAATATATTATATAGTTTGTTAGAATTACCTTTGCATTATAAGAACAAAAAGCATGCTGCTTGTTGTGTCATTGGCCGGAGCAATGCCCAAACCTAGCTCGAGGCTCATGCGAGGGGCTTCCAGGCCTTGGGTCTTCAAAATGGTCCTTAGCAGGACTTCCTTGGTGTGGCACAACATGTTGGAGGACAGACGTGGAACTCCGCCGATCTAATTGACATCGCAGCAATTGGTAGGCGTTGGATTTGGGTCTTCCAACACCAAAACGGCCCTATACCTTCAGCGGGTCTCAGATCGAACCTGCTAGCTGCCTCGTCAGAACCCTTGTCATCTGAGAGTGAGGGTACCAAGCCTCAGGCAACTGCAGCAGCCCGCCTAAAGCCTGGACGTTTGAACTCAGAAGTATTGGTCCTCCAGCACCGGCGCTCATCGCCAAATGTTTACATTTAGTAGTTGCGGCATCTGGACCTCAACAGGGCACTCGGGATGGTGATAGCACTATTGCTGGTCGTGAAATTCATGGCAATGATGTTGGTGGTGTCGACCGACTGCATCGTCATGACGTGGGCTAAGACCATCACCACGGTGGTGATGGTCTTAGCCCACGTCATGACGATGCAGTCGGTCGATGGTAATGACGTTTGCGATGGTGGAGGTGATGATGCTGCAGAGCATGAAATATGACGGTGATGGTGATCATCAGCATGAAGACGATGATGATGCTGCCGCTGCTGCTGCCGGATGCTGCCATTTTGCGTCTGGTATTGTGGCCGTTGTGATAATTTTGGTGTTGTTGTCATTGATGTTGGTTGTTGCTCATGGTGATGAATTTTGTTGCCCGTGGTTGTGACCATTATGATGACAGGCACCGAAGTATCGGATGCGCTGTAAAACTTGCGCGCACGTGCTAGGCTTCAGGCCTGGCCATCAGCATACATCTTGTATCTCCGAGCTGGCTTGAGGCTTCGAAGCACAGCTGTAACGTAAACGTCGGGTTCGCTTGCATTCGGGTCATTGTCACGGACAGAGGCAGTACGGTTTATGTCAAGGGCTTAACTGCTTTTGTTTCAGATTTGGCACCGTGTCTTCTACTTCTGGGAGGCTAGATCTTGCGGAGGCAGCAAGATCAAGAGGGATACCAATGGGGCTGCAGCTTTTGTTGATGGTGTTGGTCAGGTCCTGATCAGGATTTTTATTTCTGTATTACGACCACTTTTGCTGTCACTGTTCCATAGATTCTCTCCATTTGCTTCGAATGTCGAGGCTGTGCTTTCTAGCATCATCAATGTAATTGCAGATGCGGCTGCTGCTTGCTGCTGCTGGTACTTGCCAGTCCGGACGTAGTAGTAGTTTAAGTAGTAGTAGCAGTAGCAGTAGCAGTAGCAGTAGCAGTAGCAGTAGTAGTAGTAGTAGCAGCAGCAGCAGCAGCAAGCAGAAGTGTTGCTACCATTGCTTTTTCTACAGCTGCTACCACCATGGCTTCGACGCTCACCCTTGCTATGTAGCTTCGGGTTTAGGGATCAGGGTTTAGGGATTTGGGAACAGGGTGTAGGGATTAGGGTTTAGGGTTTAGGGGTCTTTTTCTACATTCTCTTGGTAGGTTTTTCTGCCCAAGGTCTCGACACGTCGGGCCCGAGGTTCAGGGCCCTCGTTTTGCGTTCCCCGGCTGTCCCTCGTGGGTTGTCCCATGTTCATACATATAGATAAGAATATATCTCTATATACGTATGTATGTATGTATGTATGTATATATATATATCTGTATATTCTACATGACTTAGACACCTTCATTTGTGCGACGATTGGAACAACCCCGATGTCTGTCGACAGCGAATCCACTCTGGGACATCATAAGTCCCAGAAGTGTTCGGGCCAAGACTTGCAGCAGAATCTGCTCCGGCATTTTTTTCTCGAGCATGCGCTCCTTGTCTGTTTGGTGATTTTTTCGAGACGAAGGTCCTGCATCTTGCCAGATTCGAGACCCTCGTACTTTAGCCAGCTGGCTTCCAAGAGACCGGATCTCGAACCAGGGACGACACTCAATCTTGCCCTTTGTAATGAGGTATTTCTCGACGTACCATGTCAAGAACACTTCGAATATTTACAACAGCCAAGAACAAAGTTCTGCTAGTAAAGAGCAAGGCAGGACTGTCGAATCGAATTGATGGCCGTTGCGCAAAGCCTTTCGTGGGTGCAGAGGTGGTGGCGGGGAGTTACAGGCTCTGACGAACTCAGATTTGGAGTCCAGACGAGTAGATTCAGGCAGAAAAGACTAGGGTCAACGAAATGTAGGCCTTTCTGAATGTGACTTCACCACTATGAGGTTGAAAGTTCAATAATGCGCAGAACATGTTTATACATATATATATATATGTATACACATACACACAAGTCGACAGATCTCTCTAGATTCTCTCTTTGTCTCTCTTTGTCTCTCGCGCTCTCACTCTATGTGCCTGTGCGTGCAAGGGTCTCCTAGTGGTTATATCCTCACGAACACAAGTGGTAGCATCTCGGTTCAGTGTCCAGGGTTTAGGGGGCCTCACTGCGCAGGCCGGAAGATGGCCAGAGGCTTTGCTGAAACTCAACTCTTAGGCGGAGTCTGGATGAGCCTTTCCGAGGGTTCGGCTCAGGCAAAACTTATATCTCCCATTCACGACTTGCGGTTTGAAATAGCAGACATCATCATCCTGAGCCGGGCCCCACTCATGGAGAAACCAGAAGCCATCTCCGAGATCAAGTGCCTGCGGCGCCCCAAATATCATTGGCCTGCCCCCCGAGCATCCCACAGAAGATCAACTCTGTGCAAAGCGCCGACCAGCGACAAGGTGAATCATGTCGAAGGGGTAAAAAGCACGGTTATTCTGTCTGGCTGGCAGCTGTGCTGATCAATACAACTGCCTTCCCCACACTGTCCACTGGTCGTTGATTTGATTCAACGTGGGGCTTCACAGCTGTTTGGGCTTCAGTTGCATGTGCCCAAACACTTGCATGTCTTGTTCCACTATAGCCTCTTTATAGCAAGTGGCTCCAGATGATTCCCCACTCCAGATACATCGCGCCTGGTGCTGGCCACCAAACACGAAGCCTAGAGTTTCCACGTCTCGAAGCTTTTGAGCTACACCCAAGAATCCTCAATTGGCCCAGAAAGCCGACATCGTGGGATGCCGCCCCAAACTAAAGCCGCCGAACCCTCACCCTAAACCCTGTAGTCCTTCGGTCCTGAACTTGAAAACCCTAACCCTTTCATGTTCACTTCATCAGACTGTTCCCCCGGCATGTGAGAGCACACACGTCCGCAATGGTTTAGTGCTTGCGAGCCTCTGGCGGATGTGTGCTTCCTTGGGAGGGCTGCCGGGGACTCGGACTTGATGACGTTAGCTTCAATGCTTCCGTGTGAAGTTGCGTGGTGTTGCATAGTGTCGTACTGTAAGACTTGTTTCGGGCTGGTATTCCGGTACCGACTGCTGTACATGGAAAGGCGGAGCTTACATTGAATGCTGCCATTTCGGAGCGGTTTTCACCGGCAAACGATTATGTAACTGTCCGGGTACTACTGTCATTGGTTCTGCTGGTTACGGCCATTGCCACCCCACTCATCATGACTGATGCTACTATATATGCAACCATTACTCACGGTCCCCAGTGTCAAACAGAACGTCTGTTGTGCTGACTTCCTGCGTGTTGAATCGTTGCTGCCAGTCCTATCAAAGATACGAGCCTTCTAGAATTGCTGGTCGCTCACATGTTGCTGCCATAGCTGAGCTGCTTAGACCCATTCTCATGGACATGTTCACTCTAGACGACACTGCATCTGGCCATTAAGCTCCATCTACTAGGTAATGATTCACCAGTATTCATCCGGTTCACAGTCTCATGTTCCGAGCTATTTTTCGCCGCTGTGCAGCAGGGAATGTTGTACAGCAATCGAGGCTGTTGGTTTAATGGTTTCTTTAAGTATTATCGTTGCTCAGAGAGCTCCGTAAGGTTGCGCAGATGAGGGTGGATGGCCTCGCTCCATCACTCTATGCTGAGTGGTTCTCGCCCACTGTTGCTGTTGATACTGGTGTGAAAGACATTTGAGCGAAAGCCGGAAAGATCAGAACCAAATCCGCTTGATGTTTGTGATGTTTTCTATGATTGTTTGCTCTTGCTCCAAGGCCTGTGAGAGGAAGGATCGAAGCATGTGTTGCCGGTGAGTTGTGATGGGATGCGCGGCCAGGTTGAGACGAAACTGGCTTCGCACCTGTGAAATGACGACACACTCACTTCCCCAAACAGCTTGCTAAGTTGCACAGACGATTTACAAACCCCGATCCCCGAACGTTGTTCAGTTTTTCGCCCCGCACCGACGGCCGACGAGCCAGGCACATTGCCCATTGCCTGCACCCACCTCAAGAACCTGTGAAGATGCCCACAGCCTCACAAGCTTCCAAGTCAGGCCGGGTTCAATGCCAACGCCCGGTCCAATGCTAACGCCGCCCACCACTCTGGCAGTGGGAGTTCGAAGCTTCGTGCTGCTTTTCGGCCCAATGATTTTTGGGGACTTGCCGTGTAATGTCCTGGTAAGGTGCTAGTAGTCACTTAGTCGCGTCTAGCTATTTTCTTGGACTGTTCCTACTACGAATGAGCAAGCAACACGACTTGCTAGTAGTGGCTCCGGGCCACAACCGACGTGAATAGAGGTCTTTGTTTTTCGGGAGTGCGTCGTTGGGGCCAGCACCAGGATCCGGGTTGAATTGTTAAGGGTGAGAAGGGCCTAGATGGGGAACAGGAAAATGAGGTGCTGCTCGGAAGAGTTGCAAGAATCGGTCATCATTAACACAGATGTGCAGTGCAAACATGCGCAACCAGCGATTTACCAAAGTTGCTCGCAGTAGTAGTAGAAGTAGTAGTAGTAATTAGTAGTAGTAATGAGTAGTCGTACTAGTAGCAGTAGTAGTAGTAGTAGTAGTAGTAGCAGGAGGAGTAGTAGTAGTAGTAGTAGTAGTAGTAGTAGTAGTAGTAGTATTAGCAGCAGCAGCAGCAGGAGGAGGAGGAGGAGTAGTAGTAGTAGTAGTAGTAGTAGTGGTAGTAGAAGAAGAAGAAGTGGTGGTGGTAGTAGTAGTAGTAGCAGCAGTAGCAGTGCCAGTAGGAGCAGCAGTAGTAGTAGTAGCAGCAGCAGAAGGAGTAGTAGTAGAAGTAGAAGAAGAAGTAGTCGTAGAAGAAGAAGTAGTAGTAGTAGTAGTGGTAGTAGTACTCTGGTAGTACTAGTAGCAGTAGTAGTAGTAGTAGTAGTAGTAGTAGTAGTAGTAGTAGTAGTAGTAGTAGTAGTAGTAGTAGTAGCATCAGTAGTAGTAGTAGTAGTAGTAGTAGTAGTAGTAGTAGTAGTAGTAGTAGTAGTAGTAGTAGTAGTAGTAGTAGTAGTAGTAGTAGTAGTACGGTGCAGACATCCTCTTCACAGAAGCTGCCCTCATGTTACCCAGCCCAGAACTGTGGTGTTCCAACCATGCAGTGTGGCATTGGCGAAATTACGGCAGCAGGGTTGCACCGACATTCTCCAATCAAGCGAGAGCTTGTATTTTCATGCGTAAAAAAGTGGCCCGGCCGCTCGGCGGCAACCATTTAGCCGTTTTGGCTCAGGTCTCAGTTGATTGCTGCTAGCCTCAACTCCGCAGCCATGCAGAGCTCGTCCGCTATGATGTGTTTGTCCCTTCAGCTTGTGTTGCTCGCGCCGCGGGCGTTGGCAGAAGCCCCGGTGCCCATGCTCCGTGGCCTCACGCGCGGCCCCGCTGAGCTTCCCAGCTGTACAGAGAAACCTAACTTCCACTTGGCACGCGCTTCGTGGTGTGGGGAGCAGAAGGAGCCCATGGCATGCTCCAAGGACGTGGACAGCCCCAACCCTATCTGGGACTGCCATCTACAGGCCGATGGTTGGTGCTCCTTGGGTGGCAGCCCTTGTGCATGGCCAGAAGGAGCTCCGGCCAGGGAGGTGTCCAGCGATTGGCAGAACCAGAACTCCCAAGGTGGAGCGACGCGCTTTGTCACCTGGAACCTTTATGTTTTCACATTGGCCGGCCGTATCCATCCTGTCGTGGACGAGCTCCTGCGCATGCAGCCAGAGATCGCAGCCATTCCAGAGATGTGGCACGAGAAGGGTGCCATCCTGGATCTGCTCAACCAGAGGTCCGGCAGCGTTTGGGCATTTGCTACAGGAGGAGCCACCGAGCAATTCAATGATGCAGACATCTTGTTCAGGACTGACAAGTGGGAGCACATTGCTAGCGACCTTGTTCCATTTTCGGCCGGCCGTGCCATTAACTGGGCAGCCTTGAGGCGAAAATCCGATGGCTACTCGCTGATTGCATCCGGAACACATCCGCTTTGCTGTCAAGGTGACTACGTCATTACGGAGGCCGTCGACTTCGTGACCAAGACCCTCAGTCAGGTGCAAAACCGTCATCCTTACCCAATCGTCCTCATGGGGGACTTGAACACCGGCTATTTCCAGCCTTCGCAGCAGCTTCTGAGAAACGGGCAGGTTGAGGCCTTTGGGCGCCATTGGCAAATTCCAATGACGTTCACAGATGCATGGGCCGAGCTTCATCCCGGCAATCCGGACCCCTCCACGATCAACGATGACCCGGTGCGACTGGACTATGTGTACTTCCAGAAGACGCCCTTTTCCGTGGGCCAGTCCATCGTGCAGTCTCAGATCTGGCCAAGAGCCGCAGGCAGCGACCATCGGGCGGTCTCCGGGGATGTTGTGCTCAACCGATGAGGAGCTTGCCGAGTGCAGCAAAAAGTGCTGCCCTAATCCATTCTTCCCTGCATTAAATTCGTATCTTGGAGAGACTGCCCCCCTGGATGGCAGACTGTCTAGCCTTCTGCTCTGGAAGATAGCTCCTGAGCACATGTCAAACTCCTGGTCCTGTTGCCGTCTAGGTTTTCATGGGCTTTCTTGATTCTGCCTCATCTCCGTGTACCGGTACGTGTCACATGTGAGGTCTGAGACCGTCAGGGTGAATGTAGTGGGGCCAGGAGCATCAGCGGAGGAGTTTCGCATGAAACGCCTTCCCAAATACGAAGCAACTGCATGCCCAACTTGGGCTCAATTCGGTCTTTTGATTTATCGCGATCGGTGGTGCACTGGAGCTTCGGCTCAACAACTCTTTGTAGGCAGCGGAGCTCTCAGACCTCCAGGGCAGCAGCACCTGACATCGAGATCCTTCCTTCGTCTGATCAGTAGTAGTTTATAGAAGTCTAGAGGCGGCTTTCCTTTCTGTCTAGGTTGTGCTGCATCTCTGGAGGAAGGAAGGCCCAGCGCCGGCAGTTTTGTCGCATAGAAGCAGCTGCACACTTGGTGTCAGCTGTGATCCATCATAGAATCATGGAAGTTCATGCAAGTATGTCAAAGGTGGGGTCATTGCTTGGGGGCAATCTCTGCAGGAGTCCCTGCCCAAATTGACATTGCGGGTGGAGCCGTCCTCTAGCAAAGGGCGTTGTGGGTTCACGTGCTGGCATCTAGACCTCCCTAAACCAGGTCCCCAAAGCCTCAACCGGTCCATGATAAGTAGACTTTGAAGTGGGTGGCAAGACCTGTAGGAGGCAAGGCGGAGAGCAGCTGCTTGGATGGTCATGTGTTCATCTTGCAGTTCCAATTGTAAGCAGAAGCCGAGCAGAGCGCAGAAATTCGAAGAAACGCAAGCCTTCCGAGGGAGCAGCACTTCACCTTCGAGTATGACGTCGGAGTCTGGTCCATGGGTTCGGTTCAGGCCCTGAAGGACCTGGAGAATGGAGGGAAAGATTTTCATGCCGAGATGCTTCAGCCTTCAGTTCGAGCGATTCTACCATAATATAGGGGCCTAAATAATTGCCTGTACTATTTTGGGGGTTCCTTACTGTAGTTATAGTATAATGTGCCCCAATCAAAAAACCTATTCTAATCATTAAGGCCCCTATATTAGCTACTTGTGCACTGGGAGCCCCACACTGTCAAGCCGAAGCCGAGAATAATTGGAGCTGCAGTCTACATGAGAACTGCTGGGCCACGTTGGGGGTTGATTTTGCTTGATTTTCAATCGTCGAAGGGACTTAGGTCTGCGCCTCAAGCCTGGAAGGTGAGAGTGCCCATATTCAACCCCATCAGTCCAAAGTGAATTGGCACTGGCATTCCACCCTTCCACCCAATGCCTGGTGATGCCGAAGGACCGCCGATCCGGGGTTCTCAAAACGTGCCCGGCTCAGATACGGCAGCACATCATGCACGCCCGCAGCCAACAGCAGCAGGAGGAGCGAAATGAGCGAAAGCTGCCACAGCCTCGCCGCCGCCCGTCGTCGTCCCCGGGCGGCGGTGGCATGGCGACGAAGACGACCTTAGCAGGAGACGGACCCCACACACGCAATCTTCATCATCATGCACGACCGCCAACAACAGCACAGCAATCGCCGCCACAACACGCATCGCCACCCGCACACGGTCACGGCCACAGCCACCGCTAAGCCACTGGCTCCACCTTCGGCGCTGGAACCAAGAGCAGCACAATGGTCGCCATGATCAGCCCTTGTCGTCATCATGCAGAACACGGCATCATTGGCTTGCCTTTGTCGTCGTCACGTGTTGTTGCGGCTTCTCAAAGATTGCCTCTCTAAGCTCTGTGAGTCAGTAAAGCCTTTTTGGTTCGCAGAATTGCCTGGTTGTTGTTTCGTGAGTCCTTGGTGATGATGCTGGCGGTTGTCGTGCTGCTTCGACTAATGACTTCATTGATTTTTGGGATGAGGTTTGAGAGGCTTTTTTCCATTTGTTTCACAACGTCTGCGGTGACATTCCCTCTAGGGCCCAAGAGAGCCCGAGCACAAGCAGTCAGGTTAGCACAGCAATGCCGCGGATACTTTGACAAACTTTAGCAGCGGCAAGCTCTGGGGCACTTCAGGTCTCAGTAACGCCAGAGTACACTCAGGGGGTCGAGACTTGCCATGGTGGCTACACTGTTCTACCGTTTCTAGCACGGCAGCTCTTTTGTGATTGAGTGTTCACAATAGGTGCCGCTCCATCTTCAAGCCGCGCCTCACGAGTGTCTGGACCGCTTCGCAGGAGCTTGCAAAGCTGATGCCCGGCTGGGAATGCAGGTTTGATTTGTGAAGGCGGAAGTAGATGATGCGCACAGTGCGATTCCAACGGGACGCTGGCACCACAGGTGCTTTCACAAAGTTCGTCGCCTGCTCAACCGTTGTGATGACAACTACGACGGTGAAGTTGCGACACTGCTTCCTGGGCACTAGGAGCAATACTCTCCGTTGTCCCTGAACAGTACTTGACTGACAGAAGGTTCGCTGTTCATGAGATTTCATGAATTTTGGGACCAGTAGCCGTGCTTGGACAAGCCTGTCCTTTGTGTCCTTCGGGGCGGTTATGGTATGGTTCGGGATTCTATTGTGTTGCTGACCCTGGGTTTGGTGGTTGTCATGGGTGTGACTTGTCACAGATCGTAGGCACAACAGCTCTAACAGAGTTCCCTGGGTCGTGTAGAGCCTCAGACATAGTAGCGGAGCGTGAACTTGGCTTCGTAGAGAGCGTCTCAACTGTCAGTCGTTGCCTGGGGAGCAAAGGAAGATGCTGCAGCACCCAATGCTGTCTGCTGTCACTGCACCTTTACTGAATGGATGCGTGGAGTGCTCGGCCAAGCTGGGTGTGTCTGTTTGTGTGTGTGTGTGTGTGGGTGGGGCACCGACGCCGTTCAACAACAGAGCAAGTAGTGGCAAGCTTGAAGCATCATGTTCGAGCTGTTTGCAGGCCAAAGTTTACCCGGCTTTGCTCTGCACCCGCAACAGATTTCGACCCCGGCTGATATCCCCAACAGCATGCGGAACGCTTTGCAAACCTTGAAAGCTCGTTAAGATTGACCGAATTACAAGGACGTTTTGGAGGACTCCGAGTATTTGTTCGTCGTCTCGCTCCGTGCAAACGGGGGGGACCTGGCGGAATTCCTAGACAGGCGCATCCCGTCACTGACACGCATCTAAAAGGGTTAAGGCAGGCAGCCATCTCACGATCGGGGTTCGGTGTGGGTGGCAGACCCATGGATGCATGGGATATCGTTTCGAGAGCAGGTTTGCGCTTCGGGTTTGATCTTTAAGCTTTGAAGTTTCTGGATCGATGAAGCTTGAGGTTGCTTTGGCGGGTGGGCCTCACTTTGGATTTCTGCATGGCCCTTCTTTCCCTGTCCTACATGCGATGTCCAAACTATCCCTTTCTTTTTCGGCGTTCGGGTCTGCAAGCCTTATGCATTATGCCCTAGTTTACAGTTTGTTAGGCACTACCATGTAGGGTCTGCATTCCCACGTCCATGCATGCAATCGCCGGCAGCTTCGGTTCAAGAGCCCCACAAAAAGTCCATGATTGAGCTTGCCGCTGTTTCATTGGAAACAGGAGTGCGTGTAATCATTTAGAGCGAATTTCTTTAGGATTTGGGGAGCAACTGGGGCTAGGATGTGACTCTCCCAGGCTCCGAAGGCAGAACACCCCATCAAGAGCTTTTCTGTCGGATTGTCGGTAGCCTTGATGCATGATCTCCGCCCAGGCCCGAACCTTGACCTGAGGTGCAACCACCCTGCCAGGCTGAGCCCGCAAGATTGAGTCGTCCTCGAAGAACTGCTGAGGTGTATATAAGTCTCAAGCAACACTCGTCTCCGAAACAGGGTTCAGCCCTTATCCTGTCGACTTCTGCTTGCAGAGCAGAAGACTTGAGAACCTCAGAAAGCCTCAACTCCTCATCCCTACCCTCTGCCCTCAAAGCACCTCGGTGGGTCTTCGGATCCCAGCCATGACGGCTCCAAACACGGGCTGCCTCTTCTGGGAGCTGACTCTTGAGGCGGAGCAGCATTCGTTTTGTTCTCAGTGCTACATAATATATACATCTATATATACACATAGTACATATGTATAATATCAAGATAGCCTAGATAGTGATAGAAGTCAAGTTCGTGATGAAGACAAGACCACGATTTTCACAAAGCTCATAGCAAAGAAGATGACGTCGATGGTTGTGGCATCGTTCCGGCGGTTGTGGTGAGGGGTATGTGTGGCGGTGATGGTGGCCATGCCTCGGGTGGTGATGAGCAGAAGGAGGAGATGGAGGCGGCAACGAAAAAGACACTACACACGGTAATAAATGTATTGAGACTGCCTGCGTGAGCGAGTGTGCGTGTCGAAATGTATTGAAGCTGTTGCCCAAGGTGACTGCTTTTGTTTTTTCCTGTGGAGTCAGTCTGTCAACAAGTCAAGACACTCATCATCGTGAACCGCCAGCAATAATATCAGCATCGCATATTGCCTGTCGACCTGGCTACTTGCACTGCCAATAGTATTTTCTTGTGTTGTGTCGCCACCACCACCACCACCACCACCACCACCACCACCACCACCACCACCACCACCACCACCACCACCACCACCACCACCACCACCACCACCACCGCATCACGCTCATCATCATCATCATCACCACCTTATGCATCCCATGATCTCAAATTCCGGACTTCCGGCCTAAAAGGTGCAAACAATAGCAAGTTCACACTCGGTTTCTGTGGGCTGCAGGCCACGTTTGGAGGACCACCAGAAAACACATTGAGGTGACGATGACGAGGGCAAGCTAAAAGATCAGAAAGAAGCAAAGTCACAGTAATGCGTACATCTTGAGCTTCTCTCTGGGCAAGTGAAAGTCTTTCCAAGCTTAAAGTCGAGGGCCAGTAGATGATGCCAACAGCCTTGAGCCCTGAGCCGAACACCGTGCGATTCAGTCCCTTGGCACTCGGCGGCACAGGAAGAGGCCCGGGATCCTCTGGCAGGGTTTGGGGGCGATGGCAGCTGGTATGAGATCGTCCCAGCAAAGGACGGGGGCGCTTGGGCGGGAGCCATCATCCAAATGCCTGCAGCCCGAAAGGCCTCTGAACGAAAAGAAGCGCCGAGCTTCAGAGTTTTGGGAGTACGCCAAAGGGATGCAGCTGTTCACGGTTTAGGGCTTGAGGGTTTGCCACAAGGCCTGTGACTTTCTTGGCTCTTGTAGGGCCCGCTTCACCCAGACATCCTAAGCTCGAAGCCCAGAAGCCCATCATTGCCCATCATCTCTCAAGTAGGAGGCAAAGTCATCTCTCAAGGGACAGACGCAGGACGGGGACCTGCTAATCTTCGAGTCGTCTCGCCGCTCTACGTCGTTGAGGTGCCTCGTGGGCAGCAGGTTCAGGGTGTAGGCCTGTGCAGGCTGCAAGGGGCATCGAGGTTTCCAAGTAAACCAGAACCCTCAAATTGCTACCCTCGTGATTGCCCCACCGACAAGCTTGAAAACTCCGCACCTACCGATGAAGACCCTTCCCAAGTCTGTAAAACCTTCAGAACCCTCAAGTTGCTTGCTACGCTCGTGATTGCTCTACCTGGAAGCCCGAACGCCGTACATACCGATGAAAACCCTTCCCAAGCGCCACGAAAACATGGCGCCAGATACACCATCTGCACGTACCACTACTACTACGTACTACTACTACTACTGCTACTACTACTGCTACTACTACTATTACTACTACTACCACTACTACTACCACTACCACTACCACTACCACTACCACTACCACTACCACTACCACTACCACTACCACTACCACTACTACTACTACTACTACGACGCTGACAAGTGGGAGCCAAAACTACTCCTACTCCTACTCCTGCTCCTACTCCTACTCCTACTCCCACTCCCACTCCTACTGCTCCTGCTCCTGTGCCACTAACACTGCCACTGCTGCTGCTTCTGCTTCTGCTACTGCTCCTTAATACTACTACTACCACTACCACTACTACTACTACTACTACTACTACTACTACTACTACTACTACTACTACTACTACTACTACTACTACTACTACTGCTACTGCTACTGCTACTGCTACTGCTACTGCTACTGCTACGACTACTACTACTTCTTCTGCTGCTACTACTACTACTACTGCTACTACTACTACTGCTACTACTGCTACTACTCCTACTACTACTACTGCTGCTGCTACTACTACTACTACTACTACTGATTCCGGTTTATCTTGAGCTCTGCTCCGTAGACTGTGCAATCATGATGCATGCCACATGCTGGCAGTGTTCATCTTAGTACCGTCAGCTACCTATCACTCATTATTTGCTACAAGTCTCCACTCAAGCGCCCGTCGTGAAAGGAACCAGCATTCGAGGCAGGTTTTTGAAAGGTGGGGGGCATACGCATGACGTGTTTTTGAATGTTTTCGATGCACACATTCTTTCCTGGTTATGTGTCTGCACACATTGCCAGAACGGCTACAATACTCCCTGTGCATAGACCAAATCGCCACCTGCGGCTGGAAGAATCTAAGAAGGCGCTTCGCCGTGGCCAGCGAGACCTTCGGCGAGGCAGGGTCCAGGGTTGTCTGTCTGGCTGTGGAACTACATATATCATATATATATATATACACACTATATATACTATATATACTATATATACTATATATACTATATATACTATATATACTATATATAAACTATATATAAACTATATATATATATATATATATATATATATATATGAACAAGGTAAGGTAGCATGTGAGCCTAGCCTGATACTGTTCACATTGCGCGTCGTGCTTCTGGAAATGTTGGCACCTCCGAAAGCAACAAACTGCCCACGGCAGAACGCCAGGTTGAGCTTTTACTGGATCAGCTAAACTCGTGTGTGGTTAGTATCAAGCATTCTGGTCTAAAGCTTTCATATCCCAACAGAGACTGCCAGATTTAAAGCCCAAAGACTAACCCTCTCTGCGACTTGATTTTGGCGACCCAAAGACCGTTGGCCTTCTAAAGGCCACAAAAAACCTTAAGCCTCTAAGTTTGCAAGCCTGACACCTAAAGCCTCAAGCAGAAGCGAGCCGACGCTCGAGAGGCTCCCTGAAGACCTCACATCACAGACCTAAGCAGGCGTCAACACGAGTTCGCGAAATCCCAAGAACCTCGCCTGGCTAGTCTGAGAGCGAGTTTTTCCACTCCTTCATCCGGAGGCCTCCAACCAAAAAGCCTGAATCGGGAACGAAGCGTGAGACTGGAAAGCGCTGGACAAAGTGAAGTGCAAAATGCACTGAAGGGCCAAGAGCTTTCCTTGGCGGTGCATGCGGCAGTGCCATCCCCGGCGAGCCCCGAGAAGGCCTGCTGCCTGGAGCAAGAAGAGGTTAAGGCGATAAGGTTAAGGTTTTGAGTCGAGGTTTCGCCCCATGCATTCGTTTTTGTGGTTGTATCTTTCCGGAACAAGTGTCGGGTATTCTGGGTAGCATCACAAAATCCGAGCCGCTTCTTCCTTGTGGGTTGGTGATGTCTTTGGCTCAGGCAACATACTGATTCGGGTCTTTACGGGAAGTCGTGGACATGATTTCAGGCTGGGGTGTTGACCTCTGACGCACATTGCCTTGGCAGCATGCGTGCCGGTGTTGGACTCGCCCAAGGAATACGTGCAGGCTCTAGGGAAGGATGATGGGAGGACAAAGCGCGCAGGCAGAGTTCTGAACTGGTCAGGTTTTGTTAGTGTGCATGTTTCAAGCTTTCCTTCAGTTCATGACTTTTCACGCTTCCTTCCCCAATGCTGGCTACATGTGCAGAGTGGTAGTCCTGTGGGAAGGAAGCTGGCGGGGCCTGACAGCGACTGAGTGCCCTGGAGAGAGAGAGAGAGAGAGAGAGAGAGAGAGAGAGGGCTTTTGCCAAGTGGCTTGGGCACAGCTGCACAGACCTGCTTAAAAAACAGGGTTTGTGGTATGCTGGCAATTTTTTACCGGGAGCCCGCACAACTTCGTGCTTTGCGACAGGCCTGCCTTCTTCACTGCCCATCTCATTGGGGCTCCGACCACCGGTATGAGGCATGCTGCAGGGGGGATTCTGGCTGATCGCGGTCTTGAGGAGCGGTTATGCCTCACTTTCGGACATCCTGTTGGGCAGAGAGAAGGATGCCCGAAGCCGGAGCCCAACCTCATGCCTGAATCTCCCTGAGCCGAAACTCAACCCTAAAGTAAACTACAGTGCTGCGTGGGAGTCGCTTTTTAAGCAGTAGCCCATGAGGTTTACAGCCTCGACACGTCGAACCCCGACTCCTTCCCAGCTCTGGAGCCACTCTTCGTTTCGTCGGCCTCCAAGGCACGTGAGATGAGGGCAGTAGTAAAGGTCAGCTGTGTAAGAGTACAAACACAGACAGGCCTTGAGGATCCGAGCATGATGAATTGAAGCAAGGCAACATAGGACAACTCATCTCACTCTCTCTCTCTCTCTGCCTCTGACTGCCTCTGCCTCCCGCTCCGTGGATCCAAGCTGGATGCAGCCCTTGACAGTATCAAGATGCAGGATTATTCTTGCAAACACAAGAGCTGGTTCAATGTATCCTGGAACAAACAGAGAATGATTGGAACATGAGCGCAAGTGTACAGCCACCTACATGTCATGTGGATCCTTAGAGGAGTCGCAGGTGCGCTGTTTTTCATTAATTAGTGAGGTCTTGTTTGTCCTACAGCAGGAGGCATGTGCGCACCATGTGCGAATGCTAAACTGAGCGAATATTCAAAGAGATTAGGCAATCCCTAGCATGTTGGCTTGCGTAAGCATTTCAGCCCCACATGCTTTGCAGCAAGCACGTTTGTGATTTGTGAATCCAAGAAGGAGCTTCAAGTAGAACGTCGCCAGATCGGGTCCGCAAATGCAATTGCGTCTTGAAATTCAAGCTTCAGAGACGCTGTGCTAATCATCGTCCTGGACTTGCATGTTGAGCTCCATGCCGGTGTCAAGGAAAACTTCCTTGAGCAGCAGCAGCAGCAGCAGTCGTAGTAGGAGTAGTAGTTATAGTAGCAGCAGAAGAAGAAGTAGTCGTAGTAGTAGTAGTAGTAGTAGTCGTCGTCGGCGTAGTGGTGGTTGTAGTAGCAGTTGTGGTAGTAGTCGCAGTGTCAGTAGTCGTAGTGGTAGTAGCGTTAGTCATCGTAGTAGTGGCAGTGGGTGGTAGTGATGGTAGTGGTCGGCGTCGTCGTCCTAGTCGTAGTCGAAGTCGTAGTCGTAGTAGTCGTCGTCGTAGTAGTAGTAGCAGTAGTAGTAGTAGTAGTCGTGGCGGTGGTGGTGGTGGCGGTGGTGGTGGTAGCAGCAGTAGTAGTATTAGCACTCGGATTTTGTATTAGCATTACTGTCATAATCACTACCAGTATAAGTATCAGGGTCAGAATCCTTATCAGCGTCCCTATCAGCATTAGTTTTAGCAGTGCTGATACTTTTGTAATTCTTATTCGTAGTTGGAGGAGGAGGAAGAGGAGTGAGAGGGACGAGGAGGAGAGGAGGAGGAGTAGGAATAGGAATAGGAATAGGAATATGACTACGAGTAGGAGTAGAGTAGGAGCAGAAGTAGAAGTAGGAGTGAGCAGCGGTGCGAGCAAAAGTAGGCGTAGGCGGGGATAGTAGGGGTGCAGCAGCAGCAGGAGCAGCACGGCAGCCGCAGTGGCAGTAGCAGCAGCAGTAGCAGTAGCGGGAGCAGGATGGCAGGCAACTCAAGAAAGCAACAAGGCAAAAACAGAAATCAGACAAGAACCGTAGCATGCAGCCAGAAACATGCAAAGCTGCTGGAAGCCTCTGGCCGAATCGCGGGTCCCTGTAAGTAGGGAAGCTGACCTGGATTCCTGGATCGAAGCTGGGAATCGAGGTCCCGTGTTCTCGAACCAACAACTCTCCTAAACGAATGAAGAATAGTTCGTGCTGTATTACGACCAATGGCGACGGACATGTTTGCCTGATGTCCGTAACAGTCACCAGAGGCAGTAGCAGAAATGGCAAGCGTCACTGTATATCACTGTAGCGCCAACGCTTGGCAAAAACATCCGAACCTCACATACCGGCATCCCAGAAGCAGGCGGAGAAGGAAAAGCTGGTGGAGGCGGGCATCGCGCAAATTGCGCCCAAGCAACGGCATGGGTTCAGTCTAGCACCTGTGGCTTTATTGGGGTCTTTGGGGAGTTTTGTTCTCGACCTTTCAGCAGTCTATGCTGGCTTCACACTGAGGGGACGGTTGGCGAAGGTCGAGGTTTTGAGCAAAAGTAAGCTCTGAGGGTTTGTACGGTTGTTCACACCAAATGAGTAAACACCCACAGCAGAACGCATGACGAGGGGGGATATTGCGCTTACAGTGGGGCTTCTCTTAAGAGCTGTTTGGTTGTTTAGCGCCTTGAGCTTCACAGCCTAAGACTTCCCGAAGCTGCCTGCAAGTCAGCATGGCAGCCGAGGCACCCTACGACTGTAGCACCTTGGCAAAGTTGTTTGGTTTGTCGGGGGGCTTGTCATCGCGTGATCTGGTGCCCGATGTCCGGTTGCATCAGAACCGGAAAAGCCTTTCAAGACTGGCCTGGAGCAACCAGCACGACGGAGACCCTCAAGTCGGCTTCAGTTCCAGACGGTGAACCAGGTAACTCGGTCTGTTCCACTTTTTTGCACCTGGGGCCTTTCAAATCCTGGATACAAGGTCTCTACTTTCTCTGTGGCCTGCAGCACTTCCCTGGTGATGTCACGGGCTCGTTCGTCTACTGCTTCAGACCCCTGGCATGCAGTGCATGATCACTAAGAGTCCGTATAAGAGATGTTTACTTCTTTGTGCACCCCTTTGCTCGAAGCATGGCCGCTGCTTTTTGCGCACCCACCTCCCCAAATGAGTGCACGAGGCCATCAGGGAAGGCTTTGGCTCAAATCATGAGCTTCGTGTGCCCCGCTTAATGTTAATCTCGATGTTGCTTACGCGGTGCCGTTGCCCGAGTTGATCTTGCAAAGGACGTTCGTCTCCTATTTCAGGGGTTTTGGTATGTTGCTGCCCCAGCGTCAATGACCTGCTTCCTTCTCTTTCAACTTGTCTGGACATGATGCCAGTCTTGAGCTGTCAAGATGTCGGATTCCCAGAGAAGCAAGTCTGCCAAGGTTTGGAGGAACGCGAGTGGACGGAAGTGGAGCCACTCGGCATGGTTAAGCACAAACGCCGTGGTGTGTCGAAGGAGTCTTGAGGAGCTTCAATCATTTAGAGCTTCAGCGAAGCCAGACTTTTCAGAAGCTTCAGGGAGGCTCGAGTTTTCAGAACTTAGACCTACATAGTCAGACCTAGCCCCTCGACCCTGAACAGCGTTACCGCAAATTTTCGGGGAATGCGACCTCCTTTCGGCTTTCGCCCCAAGCCCTCCAAACCCTTCCCATTCAGATGGTTTCACCTCATCACAGACCTCGAACCACAGGCCTCGCATAGTCCGTCCGAGTGTGAGCGCCGAGAACCCTCCTTGGAGAAGCGAGGTATACCGGTACCTTCCCAGCGACGAAGCCGGGAGTGTCCTACCAGGGCTGTCGATTTGGCCGGACGCCCGGGACAGTGTCTGTCATTTTAGACCGTTTTATGCAGGACCGATAGATAATCATGTGCAGGTGAAAGATGCGCAGTCGCAGCCGATGAAACCTTTCTTTGCCTCTCTCTCTCTCTCTGCCTCCATCTTCAATCCCAAGACAATTTCAAAACTGCCACGAAAGTCTGCGAGGCCAGAGCTGCGTCGTGCAGGGGCAGAGAGCTTGGATCTTTGGCGGGTGTGTGAGCAACGAGGCCACCCGGCGACGTCGGAAGTGTCGAACGTGGGGCTTACGATCTTCGTGAGCTTCAGGGATTGGGGCGGGTTTAGGGCCGCCTCAACTAGAGGAGCGCGACAGCGACCTATACATTGTCCCCACAGCGCTGCCAAAGCTATTCGAGGAGCCCAATACCCGTATAACCCGCATTGTGCACGCAAAGCCTGCCAAGGCTATCCCGCACGGTGCGCCCAAATCTAGCTTCGAGCTTCTCCACATACAGTCTGCACCCATTCCCAGGTCAGAACATAAATGGATGTGATATTAGGGCTTATTCCCAACATCCCGTTCTAGATCTCCAACATCCCTGCACATAAGCAAGCAAAAGACATGATCAGACCACGATGCAAAATTTCGTGCAGGTGGTTCGGATTGAGAAGAGATCTTAAGATTGCTTTCAAGCCGACCAGGTGCACATGGCACAATAGAAAAACTTTCAACAGCCTAAATGACCTCCGCCTCCAATTGAAACCTTGCAAGGCAACTCGCTATGACTCTGTGCTTATCTGCTTATCTGTACCGCATGGATGTCGTGTGTATGTACGCAAGCATGCGGCAACATACAAGACCCGAAAATGTCGAAGATGAGGCCGGTGGCGTGCAGCCAACCAGTGGCCTTTTTTCCTTTGATCTCGAGGCGGCAGTGAAATTTTGTAATCTTCTTGCTTGAGGGTCTTTGGAGCAGAGGCTTCGACTCTAGGCGCAAAGCTGGGATGAGCTACAGGTTGAACAAGGATGTATTTGAGGTTGTCGCTGAGAGTTCGGTTTGGGGCTCTTTTCGTTGGACTCTTACGAAGAACTTGCAAATCGTCAAGACGGCGAGAGTCATGGCAGCTGAATGTGCTACCAACTGCGCCAACATCAGTCTGAGCTTATTGAGGCGGAGAAGAAATGTTAGAGTGACTCGTAACTGTTGGCTGTTGGCGTGGTGCTGGGGGCAAGTCCAGGAGTGCCGGTATGTGCGGACCTTACTGTTACTGTATCTGCCGGCGTGTTACTTCCACGACAGGCTGTGCTTACGACAACTATAGGGCTTGGACCTTTGGGTTGTTCTTGCTGAAGTCACTTCGAGGTGAGGTGAGGGCATGGGGGCGGCTGTGGTTGCGGTTTTCGCATGCGCATTTCAGCGATGATAATGTCGCATGCAGCAGAGGGGGTCTTCGCCACGCAGGAGCATCACTTTGAGGAGATTGCGGCGGCCTCGCCCAGCAACTGGCCTCCTGCAGCAGAGCAGCAGAAAGGGAGCCAGAATGCTGTCACAAACATGGATGCATGGATACCAGAAGCTCTTGTGTTGCATAAAGTCATAAAGACTGCCTCAACACGGAGGCAGGCAGTTTCGGTGAGGCATTAACAGCCCACTCATCAGTGGCTTTTGACGGCAAAGTCTTCGTCTTCGGCGGTGGTGACGGCGCACAAGACGTGTACTGCTGCCGGGCTGAAACGATTCCCATCATCTGCGTCGGTGCCATCATGCGCCTCATCAGATGTACTGTCGCTGTAGTTTGCCATTTCATGGCCCAGACGGTTCGAGCTGCTGTCTGTGACAGTCACCGTCTTCGGCAACTGTCACTCTCTGCCTTGTCTCTCTGATTGCATTCCGTCCTAATACGAGCACTTGGAGGTGACAAGCTGCCTCCAACACACGGCAATTGAAAGCACGATCAAGTAAGAACTTTCAGAGTAAAGAGCGGTGGATAACACTCACAAGACTCGCCGTCCTCAGCCTTCAACTTTGTGAGCGAAGGTTACGACGTCGCAAAGCCTCTTGTCTGGGAGAGGTTGGTAGCTAGGACTGTTGCTTCCCAAAGCATTTGCCTATGGGGAGACACGATGCGAAACTTGTTTTTCTAGACACCACGTTCTGCCAGCAGGCGCAGGGATCCATCACAGGCAAAAGGGTTTCGCGTTTGCTTCAGGCGCAGGGCTTCCCAGTGCTGCCCGAGTGGTCTGGGCTTCAGCCTGGCTTTCATTGGCTGTATGCAGGAGGCGGTAGACGTAAGGATGTCGCAACGCAATCCCCAACCCTAGCTCTCTGATGCCGCCAGTGCATACCGAAACTTATGCATGGTGGAGCCGTGTCCTTAAACTCGAGGTCCGAGGTCCCTTCAACTTCACAGGACAGTTTACCTGTTAACTTCGTGGCTTCCATGGCATGGTCCGGAAGAATAATTAAGGTAACTATACTTATTACGAGAGAGAACCCCCATGAACCTCCCAAGGTCCAGCTGGGCGCTGCTGCCGCCGCTCCTCCTTGGGCCTCGACCTTGCGACGGCCGTGTCGCGCACGCCGTGGCGGACGGTTATGTGCCATGGCTTGGGGCTTCGGCTTCCAGTAGACTCCTCAGTAGACACACAGCAGAGTGTGAGATATGTTCGCGAATATGCAGATACGCTTACCATAGCGTTTCGTATGCACGATAGCCTCCTCAGCACCTGTCGTGAGTGGTGTAGGCCTTTGTAAGCGCCAGCCGCCTACGGCAGCCGGAACACCCAAAAGTCCCGACACGCAAGTCGCAGTCTTGTCCGTGGACTCCCGTTTAGAGGCAGGTGGGGTCACAGGGAAAACACAAAGCCCTTCTATCTCAGCCATGGTCTATTTATTCATTGTTCCTATACTGTAACGGCAGGAATGTGAAGGGTTCGGAAGGTTTTCGCCCGGCAAGCTGACATGCTCCAGGTGGTGGCCTACCAGCAGACCGAGGCCAGATTTGGGTCTGAGGCTTTGTTGCTGTTACTTCATTCACGTCTTCATTCCAAGAGAGAGACTCTGACATTCATTTTGTCCTAAATCTAGAGACACCTTGAAACAGCCTCGCCACCTCAAAACCGTAAAGACTTTCCCACCTTGGATGAAGTGTGGTTGCTGTCGTGGAAAACTAGGGCTGCCCAATCAGGTGTCCTTTTCTTGCTGCTGTTCCTTCTGCTATCGCCGGTGTTGGCGTCGTCGTCGTCGTTGTTGCTGATGCCTCTACTTGTTCGGTTGCTACTGTTTGCCTTCTCGCAATGCGAGGCTTCATACTGCGAATTCCCACATTGTTTGTTGTGCTCTTCAACTTGTCCTGTGCAGTGCAGGGCTCGGACCCGGCATCCGAAGAGCCAAACGTGGGACACAGCTCCTTAGCTGATCTCGACAGAAGAGCCTCCTCAAGAGGTGAAGCTCGCAAGCCGAGGGCCTAGGGCCTTGAGACATGAAGCCCAAAACTCGAAGTTGCCCAGCCCAGGCCTTTTTCGCATCACCCGCGACCAGCTGAGCCGGCGGGCAGAGACAAGTGCCCGTGACTTCCGAGACCACAAGCCCGAGGGGATGAGCGAGCTGCTAGGCACCGCAATCCGGGGTCTTGAAGCATGAGATGACCTATCTCAAAAATACATACTATAAATGTAATATAATATATAATATAACTATATACAGAATATTATATTATATATTATATCGCCAATCCATTCCAGTCCTGTCAGGGCACTGTTCTGTGCCGTAGAGTAGCGAGAGTTTGTAAGCTCCGCAAATGCATCGGGAGGGGGAGGGTAGCCAGATGCCCGACCACGCAGGCGACCGGCTCCGACTGATGCAGTTGCTCCTACGTGCTGTGGTTCATATCAGGCTACCTGAACAGGCCACAGACAGGATGCCAGCATGGAAGTCCTTATGTCAGCCTTATGTTATGGTCAGATCGAGATACGAGTCTCAATAGGCTGAGCCCGGATTCTTAAAGCCATGGCCGCTGACACCGCTGAAGGCCTTCTGGCTGAAATTGAGAGCACGAAGCAGCAAGTTCAAGCGGCCGAAGTGAGGAACCAAGAGCTCTGCGTGCTGACTCGTGAGGCAGAAAAGCGACAGAGGCTGAGGCGTGAGCTGGACGTTCAGAGGACCATCTTGGCAAACAGGCAAAGGCTCAATGCCCTGGAATCACTCTATCGCCACGAAGTTGATCGTGATGAAGATGGGCCTCACTGTCTGACGGCAGGGCCGCGCAGTCAAGCTGTCGCCTCCAAAGAGCACCCGCAAGACGCCAGTGGTGGAGAACGTACAAACTGTGCGCACAAGGTCGCCAAGGGTGAGTATGTTTGGCAGATCGACAGCTTTTCATGGTCTCGGCTGCGTTTGCGGCAGTCTGGCCTGTTTTGTGTAGTGTCCAAACTCTTCAAGGTTGGCGGTTACGAGTTTCAATTCGTGTACCAACCCGATGGAGGCATCGTGAACTGCACATTGTCGCAACGAGGATCCCTCGCCATTATCTTCTGGGGTTCGGATCCCATCGTCCTGCGGTACCGGATTTTCATCAAGGCACGAAGTGGAGAGTTCGTGCAGTGGGGAGAGCTTCGCGAGGAGCTGCACGATGTGGATGACGGACCTCCAACAGCATATGGCCCGGATGTGCATGAGGCAGAAAATGCCCCTGCATCTCTTGGCATCTTTGGTCTGACACACCAGCAGCTGCTACAGTCAGCGTGGGTCGACAAGGACACGTTGACGGCAAAGTTCGTACTGGAAGTCCACCCAGTGGGAACGTTCGACACACAGCCTCTGCTAACACATGTGGAGGTACCAGGGTCAACCCTGCATCAGGACACGCAATCCTTGTGGGAGAAAGGAACAGGCAGTGACGTACAGTTCATGGTGCAGGGTGTGACGCTCCAGGCTCATTCACATATCCTTTCTGCGCGCTCCCACGTTTTCGAAAAGCAGCTGGCTTGTGGCATGCAGGAATCTGCCTCAAAGGTGGTTGTGATCGAAGACTCCGACCCCGACACCTTCAAGTGCCTTCTGCAGTTCCTCTACACGGACAGCTTTAAAGGGATTGAGGATTTGATGGCCAAGACTGCCGGCAAGAACGACACAGGCAACCCTCGGCTGTCTCAAGCACAGGCACTGCTTGCTGTAAGCCACAAGTACGAGGTGACACGTCTTCAGAGGTGGTGTGAGATGCGACTTTGCGAGCACCTTTGCACTTCCGAGGTTTGCAACATACTCTCCCAGGCGCATCTGCTCGAAGCCGCGCAGCTGGAGAAGGCCTGCTTGGTTTACATCAAAGATCACATACAAGAGGTGCTCAAGTCGCCGGCCTACGTCGAATTGATGAAAGCGTGGCCTCAGATCGGCTTGAAAGTCAGCCTCTTCGCGGCAGGCGTGCCAGAAGCAGAGGCAGCAGAAGCCATCAATGGTTTCAAAGGTTCTGCAACGGCCGGTAAGCGCAAGCGCACGGAGGAAGAATAAGTGCAAGAAGGTAATTACACACTTTCGATGCACTGCTGCTGCACGTATGTGGCAGCTTGAGGGAGCAAATTCATGATTCTCTTTAGTGTTGCCTGTCTGTCTGCAGACCTCGCCTGGACATGTCCATGTCCGAGTGCGAGCATCAAATAAATTCATGATGGAACGGCCGAGGGATGCAAGCTAGTGCTGCGGAAAATGCGAGTGGCAAAGCGATGCAGGGGGCACCAGGACCCTGCAGAACCTACCTTTTTGCTAGGGTTCCTTAAAATGATTTCCTTATAAAACCTTAAAAAGGTAGGTTATTTGGGGTCCAGGCAGCCCTCGTTAAGACCTAGATGTAGCTAGCTTTCAGTCCACTTCACGCCTCAGAGAGGCGGTAGCCGATGCCGCTTCAGGATCTGCCTGAATCTATGAGGCATTGAAGTCACCAACCCGTAGCCGCCGTAGCCGTGAACCTTCAAGTGGCTTCGGGCTTAAGCCTGAACCCTAAACCCTGTTAAGGCCAAAACCCCAGCTCCAACCCTACTTCCCCGCAAGATCCCGCAAGTACCACAAAGCTTCGAGGCTCGACTTTCTCCTGGATGAGGCGACCGCGGATGCGGCCTTTCTCATCGACGATACGTGCCGGGCTGAACTGTGGTGTCCAGGGTGTAGGGCCGTGTAGGGGTTGTACGGTTTGGGATGATGGTGTACGTAATGTGTGGAATAATTAGATATTAAGGGTTGCTCTGGATGTAACTAGCTTTGGTCCGAGCCTGTCGGGTGGAACTCGGGAGCTTTTTGCCTCCATTTCTGCGTCCGTCTGCATCTCGAGGCTGGACGACGCCCGATAGATAGTTTTCTTGTGGTTCTTGGGGTTTCTGGTGAGTCTTCTGGCAGGTCATGGCAGTCCAGCCCCAGACCCCTACAGAAGCAGAATGTTAGGTGGGAAGCCTCCAACACATGGGAATCTTTTCAGGAAGCTCCCCGTTCACCGCGCCGTGCTGCGTCGCTTCGCGCCTGCGCTGGCGAAGGTGGTGGCTGAGAAGCCCGTTGTAGCGCTGAGCCGCTGCTGAAGATCTCTATTTTTTCAAGTTTCTACGAAAGTCCGAAAGGTTTCCGAGCCTGTAGCCAAACGATGACATGACACCGTCATATGGGTGTAAGCCGATGCGACATCCGGAGCATGTGCCCAAGCTAAGCTTTTAAAAAGATCGGCCTCGGCCCTCGGAAGCTTTGCACCCCTCAGCCCTGAAAGTAGTTGCTTTGTACTGGTGGCTTTCTCTCAGGTTGCAGCAGGCTTAGAGTTAGCTTAGGGGGCACGAGAAAGGTTGGGTTTGAAAGCTTAGCACTGGTGTGGCACTGCGAGTCTGCCAGACTGTGTTGGATCTCGCACACCATTCGTTCATGCACAGCGACCTGCCGGAGTGGCCTCATTGCGTCCCCGCTTCAATTTTCGATCGTCCACGTTTCCATCAACCTTGGCATTCTAATGCGACCGAACAACCCAAGCATCGCAGCGAGCAGTATATAAACTGAAAGCCACCGACACCAGCCTCCTTGATTACCGTTGCATCAATCGCCAAGCTACTTGTTTGAATCTATGGTGATGAAGCGTGACATGTCCTGTCGCAGTGTAGTGACTTATGCAGCTTCAACATGACAGCGAGGCCCAACCACAGCAATGATGCATTGTCATCACACGGCACTTGATTTAGCGTGTCTTGTTGACAGTGAAGTGGCGAAGAGAACTGAAGCAAAAGTAGACTCAGAATGCCATGACACTGATGGTAATCCCTCACATGACTGCGGGACTTGGGCCGTCAACATCCACCATATTCTGTCAACGCTTGCCAGCTGCACTCAGGAATGGAAAGGGTGTGACCATTCCAGCAGTGCACCTCGGCCTTCTTTACCCCAAAGGTTGGGCAAGCGTTCTGTCGGTTGGCTGGTCGGCTCGTGGAATTTTCCTGAATGTTGTCCTGGTGCAGACGTGACTTTGTGCTTGCAACAAGGGGAGTAGTATGTCACAGCAACTTGACAAGAGCTTGGGGCCGTGCTCGGAGTTAGGAGCTAGTTCAGCAAAGCAAGATGTACGAAGCCCCACATCAATGAGGCAGCAGCTGCTTCAGCATGCGGCTTGGGTGCAACTGAGACCTTCGTTTCTCTTGCTGTGTGCCTCAAGAATCCATGGACCCTGAGCCTCACTTCAGGTCTACTCCCGCTACATGGACCCTGTCAGCCCCGCGGAGGCACCGATGCAGTCGATAGGCGTGTGCGTCGCCAACCATGCTGGAACAGTATGATGTTTGACCCGCGGCTTGTTGTGGCTTGGTGGTTGGTCGTTGACGCCGAGTTCAGATAGATGGGTGCAGGGCTGCCGGGCTTGTGTTGAAGTTTCAGGGTGCATCATGGACTGAATGTGTGATGCAACTCCGGGATGATGTCTCGGCGCAGCTTCTATCCGGGGCTTTAGCTCATGGCAAATGACAAGATCTCCAAGCTTGTAGGCTGCAGATGTTGCGATTGACATGCCAGGCGGAAATGCTGCTGAAACTGGCACATCACTTCCAGCTGATGCCGCTGGTGCAGCTTTGTCAGGAGAACATCGCAGCTGGGCCATCACGAGTCGAACAGATTTGAACTGAGTCTTGGAATCTCTGTTGGACTTCGGGCTTGACACAGTGTTCATAGGGGCTCGGCCTGTGTCGAGTCCTGCATGAAAGTACCAGAGCGTGGCTTCCGACGGTTTTGATTTTCTGCATATTATTCTAGCAACCATGCCCGTGCAGCTGCACCGGGCGGGGCCCATCACACATGATAAGGGCCCTGTTCAATCGTTGTAGTCGCAGTGGTCGTCCTGATGGTGGCGCCGGTGTTGGTCGTGGTTTTACCACACTAGCAGTAGGCAGTGGTGGCTTAGTAGTAGTAGTAGTAGTAGTAGTAGTCGTCGTCGTCGTCGTTGTCGTCGTCGTCGTCGCTGTCGTTGTGGTAGTAGTCGTCGTCGTCATAGTAGAGTACTAGGTAGGAGCGGGAGGAGTAGTAGTAGGAGGAGTATGGAGGAGTAGTAGGGACTGCACGGACCATTTCCGCAAGCCCCCTCTTTTGAGTTCGTGAGCTTTCCGGATCTCAGGTGATTGATGCCAGCAATGTGCGCGAGCTTCTGGACTATGCTTCCCGGGTGACACCACCACTGGAGACCTTGAACCAGAAACTCTGAGCTGCGTTTAGTTGCACGAATTTAGAACCATTCAGGGCACTCAGAGGTGCTTCTGCAAAGAACTGGCATCAACATCGGGGATTAATTTCAAATGATAAAGTTCATGGCCGCCCGACCCAGGAAGTGCTACGAGTTCTGGACCTCCCATCCGGAGCATTTGAGCTTCATGAAGAGCCCGGTGAGGGACCGAAGCCTGGACAGCAGAATTTCTGGAAAAGGGCATCGTTTTTGAAGGGGGTTTCCGGGGGGTGGGGGGAAAGGCTGAAGGTTTCTCGATTTCTTGTCGAGGAGAGGTCCCCTGGTCGTAATATCTTCGCTGCCATTGTTGTGATGTAAATGAGTTGTGCATGCTTACGTGCCGTCTGCAGGTAGCAACAGGGTTTATTCTTATCAGCAACACAAAGTCCGCAGTGTCAAACCGAAGCCCCCTCGGAACTTGCCGCTTGTGAATGGAGTAAGAAATCCAAAAGCCTCCACAAATCCCGAAAGACGCTTCTGTGCTACTCGAAGGCCTACCCTCCAACTTGCCCACTGTGGCCTCGCCAGAACTGCGTGCGGCCACGGAGTCAGAGGCTTTGGAGCTCTTGTTTTGCGGAGAGCTTTGCGCTTTTGCTTCGGACTTGTTTCCACACATATAGAGGCAGCAGCGAGGAGCAACAAGTGTGAAACCAAAGAGAGCGGTTCAAGCAGGTTGCCCAAACCATGAGAACACTATCCGAGCCATAAGGGGGCTGCAGAATAGTAGGAAGAACTGCGCGAAGAAGCGGCAGCTTGGCTCCTTCGGGTTTTTTGGGAAGTCGTCGTCGTCGCAGTAGTGGGAGCAGCAGCATAGCCACACAAAGCCTTCACGTCAGGCGAGATCCACACAGTGCCCTGGATGCAGTACGGTGGGTGAAAATGGGTGAGTCGAAGCGTAGGTCCTGGACCTGCTGTCGGAGCCTCACACCCTCAGCCCCAAACTTACGTGTCTGAGCTGTCACTTGAACGTGTATGTTGGAAACCCGTCCGAATCCAATGACAAGCCGGCAGTCGAATATTGCTGGACGCCGCAATGATAGTCAACCCTTTGTTGGGGGCGTTGCTATCAGAAGCCACTCCTTCTAATACTGATCTCTGTTTAGCCGCACTCCACGCTCGGTGTAGTTCATCCAACCCCGGATAAACCGGACCGGACGTGGAGGCCGAGCCACACGAGAGACATGGTAGTGACAGACTCTCGTGTCCCCAGGCACGGCGACAAGAACACTAAGAAACAGCTGCATGAAAACGAAAGGTACCATCTTGAACATGACCAGTCTAATCAAAGCCGCTTGAGTATTGTTTTATAAAAACAATTGTGTTTTTATAAAAACAAATGACGGCAGGAGCCGGCAGCACTTCGAGCACCTGCAGGCAGATTGCTTCGCGGGTTGGGCACATGGCATATGAGTGCCACTGTCCAAACAGAAGTTTCCTGTAGCAGCCCCAATCATTGATGTCTAACCAGACCCCAGGCAAGCGGAAGCAGGGAGAGCACGATAAACAGCGACGAAGACAAGTGTGACAACACACACATAAAGCCGGAGGGCGTGAGCAGGAAAGACGAGATGTAGCAATTGACGCTTTTTGCACTGCTGGGTGACTGTGTGGCCCTGCTGATTTCGGCATCGCTGGCACGACTAGTGGTCGGTAAACCGAGCAGTGACAATCGCGGCAGCGCTACCTCACATCTACCTTTCAATGAAGAGGCGCATCTCCAGCAGCTGACCCAGCCGCCGGCCTACACCCCTGCCTCTGTCGCAGGACAGAGATTTGGGCAGGTCTAGTTTGGTTCAGGGAGACGGGAATCATGATAGCACATCCTGCAAAGGGAAAGCTTTTGTAGGTTCCAGTTTGCGCTGTTGGTTGAAGCCGGGGTTGGTGGGGACCCCTACCCCCCCCAGGTCCCCGCGGGTTTGGGGATAGGTTGGGGAAGCAGGGAGGCTCGGGAGTGCATCCCCCCCTCGGGTCGCCGCGGGTTTGGGGATGGGCTGGGGGAAGGGGCTCGGGAGTGCATGTGCTCATGTTCCGCATGTGCAACATGTTTGGGGATGGGCTGGGGGGAGGGCTTGGGAGTGCATGTGCTCATGTTTCGCATGTGCAACATGTTTGGGGATGGGCTGGGGGGAGGGCTCGGGAGTGCATGTGCTCATGTTTCGCATGTGCAACATGTTTATGCATGAGAGCGCATGTGCTCATGTTCCGCATGTTGCTCCTTTTCAGCATGTGCGACATGTTCATGTTCGGCATATGCAACATGTTCAACATGACCACGAGTGCATGTGCTCATGAGCAGCGCACAACAACACGTCACCACCACCAACAACAACAACACCAACATCACCACGACCAAAAAGTCCACCCACCGACCAACAACACCAGCAACATCAACATAAACCTCAACAATAGTAGTAATGTCAACAGCAACACCAACGATATCTCATCACCGTCACCATCACAATCATCGTCGTCGTCGAATCAACTCATCTCATCTACAATAGCACCAACGATACCAACGACAGCAGCGCAGCAACAACAACATCACCAAGAGCAAACTGAAACACCAAAACACGGCACATAGCATCACAAACCAACAGTGTCACCAGCATAGCAGCATCAGCAACAACAACTGAACATATCTGGCACTCACAGTACAATCACAACAACACCAACCAGTGCAACACACACACACACACACGCGCACACAATTTCAATCACAACAACAATTAGAATCAACAAATCACATCAACAACCACTCCTCATGTTAGCCTCATGCTCATGCTTCATGCTCACGCCATGTGATGCCCTGTCATGTTTGTTACTATTTACATTGCTGCCACCTCGTGTGATGTTTTGGTTTGTTTATTGTCTTATGCTATCTCATGGTTGTGTTTGTTGTTGGTGTCGTATTGTTGTTGTTGTTGGTCCGTGTTGTTGCTGCAGTCCGCGGTTGTGCTGAGTGGTTGTTGTTGCTGTTGCCTTGGTGATTGATGTCACTGATGGTGTTGTGGTTGTCGTTGTGGTTGCTACTGTTGTTGCTATGTGTTATGGTGAGGATGATTGAACTGTTATCATCACCTACCTATTCTATTAATGTTTTGTAACTTGATTTGTTTGTTTGTTTGCTTGGTTGTTTGTGTTTGTTATTTGTTGGCTTGTTTTGCTTGCCTGGTGGGTCCCTGGTGGGTTGATTGGTTGGTTGATTGGTTGATCCAGTTGATCCTTGTAATCCTTAGAATCCTTAGTTCTTGGTTGGTTGGTTCATTGGTTGGTCCTTGTTTGTCTGTTGCAATTGTTGCTGCTGTTGCTGCTGCGGCTGTTGTTGCTGTTGTTGTTGGTGTTGTTGTTGTGTTGCTGTTTTTTGCGTTCTTTCAAATTCTACTGTCGAATGAACTGTGGTCGTTATTATTGGATCGGTGTGGTTCGGTTAGTCGTTCGAAGAGTCAATTGTACGAGTTACGGGTAGTTAGTAGTTAGTCGTTAGTCGTTCTTGTATGCCCGTTGTTTTGAGTCAGTGTTCGTCGTCGTATGCCCTCGCGAGTCGTATTTCTTGTTCTTGTTGCTGCTGCTGCTGCAATTGCTTGAGTAGTGGCTTGTCCCGTGGTTGGCCGGCTGTTTGTCTGTTTGTCTCATTGTCTGTCAGTTTGTCGTTTGCATTTGTTGGTGTTGGGCAAAGTTGTCGTTGTTGTTGTTGTTGTTGTGCTTAGCTGGCTGGTGCATTGATTGGCGACTCAGTGGCTCAGTGGGTCAGTGAGTTTGAGGCTGTCGGCCGTCGGCGGCTGCTGTTGTGGTTGCTTATTAATTTTTAAGCTGCTTGTGATAACTCTGGTGAATCTGTCGAAACATTTGAGCTGTTGGTGGTGTTGTTGTTGTTGATGGCGTCGTTATGGTTGTTGTTGTTGTTGTTGTTGTTGCTGTTGTTAGTTGTTGGTGGTGTTGTCGTTGTTGTGGCTGTTGCTGTTGTTGCTGTTGTTGTGGTTGTTGTTGATGTTGTTGTTGTTGTTGGTTTGTTGTTGTTAATCGTTGTTGTTTGCTGGTCGTAGTCGTGGTCCGACGTTTTCGCTGGTGTTCTCTTCTGATAAGTGTCGGCGGTTCATGCGAGTCATTTCATGTGACTGCATGTGCTCATGTGCTCATGGCATGGTTCATAGGATCGTGGTCATGAAGTTCATGCAATGTTTCATGCAACATGTTCAGCATATTGCTTCGGCAGTTTGGTCATTCATGCACTATGCACTGATGCATGTCATGCACCCATGTATGCAGCATTTTGCTCTAGCAGCTAGCTGTCATGGAGTCATGTAGTTCATGATTCATGTGCCATGTAAAAGTACACGTAGCGGTTACGGTCACGGTTACGCTCAGCTCTTCTCGACTCAGTGCGGCATCGCGGTCGTGTGTGTATTCATATACATAATATACATATATATATAAATATATTGACGAATTGACGATTCTGTGTGACTGTGTGCAAGGTGATGTCATCAGATCACATCTTGAGTCGAAGTTTCTGAACTCGGATGCAGAACGGTTAGACTCTTAGACTCTAGACTACATCTGGCTGGCTGGGTTTATTCGTATCAGTATTGCCACCATATCGTGCAGGAATATAGCCAGCCATGTCGCTGCCTTCATTGGCAATCCAGCCTGTGCTGCTCAATTTGCTACAGAAATGTGCATGTGTTTCCGGAGTTGATGGTCGTTTGTGTGTGACCAGATCCGATATTTATTCGATATGTCAAGCAGGTAAATACTCTCTTGCCGGTGGGGGAGCCGTGCGAGGGTTTGAATTCGATCATTTCATGTCAACCACTGGTCTCTTGTTCTTGCGCGAGGGGCATGCACACAGTGGTGAACCGATGTTCGATTTCGACGTCCTCCTCTGTGTGCTGGAGGACATCCACGCTTTATCATTCAGACCTGATGAGTGGCATCAACTGAAGCAGAACCTAGGTTCCAACGCCGGGGTTGCGAGTGCGAGTGATTCTCGAGTGGACGGTCAGCCTCATGAGTCTCATGGGTGTGGGTCTGGGGGTGGTGTTGGCGCTGACCCTGATGATGACCTCCGTGACCTTCATGATGCTCGACCTCGTCATAGACAAGTCCACAATCACAATGGTTCAGGTTCTGTCTCTCTGCAGTTGCTCAGAAGACTTCTTGCAACCAAAGATGCCAAAATCAACAGCCAAGCCAAGATGCTGAAGTACTACCGACAGAGATGCACACGTCTTCAGAAGCAAGTGAATGATCTCCGCTCAGATATTGTGAATGACATGGAACGGGAGTCCCGAGACACGCTGCACATCACACGAGTGAAATCTGACAGGGCCAAAAAGAAGGAGGTTCGTTGCCTCGAGTCAAACAAGATTGATGAATATTTCAGTATCAAAAAAAGCGCCTAGATGCTCAAGATCACATCGACGCCTCCATCAATGAGCAGGGACCGGGACACACATCACGCTCGCAGGGATGGCTCACTCCCGAAGGAACGTTGTCGCTAGCCATCAGGCGCAACATGTCTAACTGCAGTGCAGAGGACCTGGGATTGGTGATCATGGACGACTGCAGCAAACAAACAGTCCTGAGAGCGGAGTGTCGATCAGGAGCGGCCCTGATGGCA